GGTGGTGGTGCACGCGTTTAATCCCAGCACTCAGGAGGCAGAGGCAGGTGAATCTCTGTGAGTTCAAGGCCAGCCTGGTCTACAAGAGCTAGTTCCAGGACAAGCTCCAATGCTACAGAGAATCCGTGTCTCAAAAAACAAAACAAAAAACCATGACCCATCAAACGGGGCCCTGCCAAGGCAGGTCTGAGGCTGAAGGAACGCCAGTCTTGGGTGAGCGTTTCAGAATCCTTCTGATCCTGGCGCTTTCAGTTTAGCTTTTCCTGCAACACTGTTGAAAAACACTGTGAAAAAATTCACACTGCACTCTGCGCACCAGGCCTTGCGGGAAGCACGTAGTCCTTTCCCCAAGAGGTACCTGGCCCAGTGGGAAGAGTGCCACAAGCATAGTGGTGCTAATATAAAAAGATAAGGGCCAGTCAGAACTTTGCTCTGGACACAGCAGGAACCAGTGCGGTGTGTGCGGATGGAATGCAGATGGGCTCCCTGTGCATCCAGAGGCCTAGGAGGCTTCCTGGGGAAGGCAGTGCTGAGCTAAGACCCTGTGTGATGGTCAAGTCCAGAAGGGAAGGAGGAACAGCGCAATGGGAACGTAGAGTGTTCCATAAGCTTCTGGGAGGGGACTTCTCACCTTCTTCCCAGAGAGGTGGGCAGAAGTCACTTACCTAGGACCTTCTCTGCCCAGAGGGTTCTGGTGCCAGCTGCTTGCCCCTCTGTTTACTGTTCTGGGAGGTGGCTAGGTCATAAAAAGTGTGCTCAGCCTGCCTGCCTTCGCCCTTTGCTCCTGGGCCTGGGATAAGAGTGCACAGGTGTTCCAGTCCCAACACACCAGCCTCTTCTCTCTCCTGCCATCCTCTGGGGGAGACAACAGAGCCTCCTGTAGCAGTTTGACATCTGAGCCGCAGAAATCAGGTGGCACCAGAAGAATGGAGTGGGGAGAGGCTGGTAGCGGCTGAGTTTAGCTTTCTGATCCACGTGACCATAGGGTAACTACTTCCCCTCTCTGGGCCCCCATTTCCTGCTCCGGTCCAGTTGTTTTGGATGTAAACGGAATTTTGCAGCAAATGCTTTTACCTGTTGAGCCCTTTTACTGCCCAGGCTGACCTCAAACTCACCATATAGTCTAGCGTGGCCTTGAACAAAAATTGATCCTCCTACCTCGGCCTCCAGAATGCTGGGATTACAATGTTCCTCATGCTTCAAACCCAGGAAACTGATAATAGCACCTATGACCACCCCCTACTCCCCCCCCCACACACACATACAAGGGAGTTCTGGAAGCTTCGTGGCTGAAGGCCCATGACATCATGACTGAGTGGATCAACAGGTTTTGGAGTTCAGTGTGACAGTTGAGTGTAACACACTGGGTTCCAGTGTGACAGCCTCTAGGTTATGAGACTTGGAAGCTAAGATGTGCTTAGCCTCTCTGGGTCTCCTCATCTGACAGAGGGAGCCAAAGCAGCTATTCCTGGGACTGAAGTGTACAGGCTCGGCATATGCTTTGCACCCCACTTGAGATGCTTGCATGTCTGGCTGCAGTCCCAGCCACTATAGCCCTGAGGTCAGTTGATGTCATGAGGAGATGAGGTCCTGGCTCTAGAAGACCCTGCCCAGCAGACAGTGGTTACTCACATGGGAGCTTGGAAGGTTGAATGTTGATTACCTGCCCCTTGGTATTTGAACTCCATGAGGAAGGGACGTGGCCTGTATATGTTTATAAGCATGCTATGGTCTTCCTGTCACCTAAAAGCATTCCATTGGAGGGCTGGGGATATAGCTTAGGTGGTAGAGGTGCATGAAGCCCTGGGTTCAACCTCCAGGACTGTGGGTCTGGTGGCACATGCCTGTAATCCCAGCACCTGAATGGTGGAGGCAGGAAGATAAAGAATTCAAGGTCATCCTTGGCTACATAGTAAGTTCAAGATCAGCCTGGAGAACCTGACACCCTGGCCAGAAGAAACATAAGTTCCAGGAGAGGTTGAGGGGTGTAGCAGTGACTAAGGAAAGAAACCTCCTCAGGTTGCATCAGACCCTGCAACCACCCCAGAGATAGAGGTGTCCCAGCTATCCTCTGGGGACAGCAGGTGCTATTTTGTACAGGGGAGCTATACATGCCTTTCTGCTAAGTGACAGGCCTGAGCTGCTGCTGGGGATATAGAATCCAATAGAAGAGCTGGCTTAGGCTGGTCCTCTAAGGCACTAGCAAATGAGACAGTTTTGAGCTGCCATATGGATACTGGGAATTGAACCCGGGTCCTCTGGAAGAGCAGCCAGTGCTCTTAACTGCTAAACCATCTCTCTAGCCTGAGCTCTAGCAAATGAAAACAGAGCACAGCAGCACTGTTTTGCATATAGTTTCCTTGGATCCATAGAACCCTAGCTCCACACTGAGAACCCTAGTCCTGTAGAAGCACTAAGTCACTATCAATTGCCACAAGTATGGCAGGGGCTATGAGGCCCCAGGAATGCTCTAGAGACTCCAGGTTGGAAGCTTTGGAAGAGGCGGGCTCCAACACCTGAGGGGTTATGCGTGCATGGCAGCAGAAACTTGGAAAAGGTCTTCTATCTGAGAAAAACTCCCTGGCCTGCGATGGGGAAACAGACGGGCAGCCCACCAGAGCGACCCTAGAGGGCAATCCCATCCAGCTGGTCAGCCGGGCTGTTCTAGAAGGGCATCCTCCTCTCTGCACCAGATGGACTGGCAGTCTGGAGCCTCGGTTTTCACAGTCCCCACTCCTCTCGTAGCAAAACACATGCTCTACGGTGACAAAATTCGAACGTTTAAGCAAATTAAAAATGTTTATTTATATGCACTTAAAAATATCTCCCTATATAATAAAGGAAGTACATTTCCATCTAACACTTTCCTTAAATCAGCACGCATCTCCATTTCACTTCTGGCTTGTGGTGAGACCAGGAGATGTGCCTGGAGAAGGAAAGGGAGGGGCAAGGATAAGAGGGCAGGGGAAGAGCATTTAAGGGGTGTTAGCATCCTAGTCCCTCAGGATGGGTGACAGGGAATAGTCAAGTATGTCTGGTCACTGAACCCTTGCTTATTGCATAATTGCAAAGTTGGAACTTCACGGGGTAGAATGACTGATGTGGGCAGCATCTGCCAGAAAACCTTAGTATTTTGCTTTTTTTCCCCACCCAAGGCTGGTGACAGGGAGACGGTGGCAGAGAGGTGATCAGGAAGTGTTGCCTGCGTGGGCTCACATTTGATATTCCAGGTGTGGCTCTGCAGCCCCCCCCCCAAGTGATTTTTGCCAGTACTGTCCTCTATGAGTTTCAGTTTCCCCACCTGGAGAGTATGGGCGCAGCCCCCTGCACCCCATGCCCTCAGTGACTATCGCCAAAGCTCAGTGGTCATCATACTTGCTCAAGGAAGGCTAAGTTTCAGTCTGGCCTCCGACTTCCAACCACATGCTCCTATGCAGGGGCCAGAAAGAGGCCAGTATTCTGGGATCCAAAGTCAATGGCCTCACCCCAGCCCTGTCCCGAAGTCCTCTGGACCTTCCAAAGGCCTGGCAGTTTCCAGTGGCAAAGGGAGAATAGTAGGAGGGAGAACCTGCAAGAGCCTCCTTCCTGAGCCCCAGGCCTCTGGTCCTCCCCAGACAGGACCATAGGCACTCCAGGCTTATTCCAAAGCCCAGAGATTCTCTGAGGTCTTGGGCATATGACATCATTCCTCTGAGCAAGTTTCCTCATGTATAAAATTTGTTCTACACATACCTGCTTTCTGGGGCTGTTGGGTAGAATTAATAATTGAATACTAGACATGAGCGCCCATCATAATACAGCAGGGCTCAGGAAATGCCCTCTGCCCATCTTGGCCTCCTGAGGTTCCTAGGGGCAGAAGCAGCTAGGGGAAGCTCCTTCCTCCTAAGTCAGGGAAGCCTTGACTGGTTAGACTCTGGTAGGAATAGCTCAGATGTTGGGAAAGCGAGGTGGGCCCTCTACCCAGCTCAGGATCTCTGGAGCTTTCTCCTCTTCTCAAACCCCAGAGGTCAGAGCAGACCTATCCTGTCATCTCCTGCTGGAACTGGCAAACATGTTAATGGCAAATGTCTGAAGGGGGCACCTTTAGCGGCCAGGGATTTGCCATGTCTGGTTTCTCCTAGTGCTCTGATCTCTCAGATACCCCAGCTCTTATTTCCCCATCCTAGCAGAAGGCTCACAAGATGCCCAGGCGCTCAGAGAGCTCAGCCAGATACCTGCTGGCTGATGGCCCTAGTCACAGATAAAACACGTGGCTCTGGGGCCATAGTGCTGGTAGACAGGAACTTGGTTTATCATTACATCACAAGCCACCACAGCACAGTGAGACCTACCTGTCCTTTTCCTCCCCCTGAGCCTCCCATGGGATGCGCTTTCATCCCATGAAGAGGAGTAGTGCTGGGGCACTATTTCTACGGGAAGTCTATGAAGCCTGACTCTGTTGTTGATGTCACACACTAACTGTGTGGCCTTACCTGTTCTTTAATTTCCTCACCTGTGAAATCGAAGGACTAACACGGGCCTCTCTAGGTTGAGAAAACGAGATGAGGCCAGGATCATTTTAAGGTACTGGAGAAGTACTGATAGACTACTGGAAACAACAGTCAGTTAGTAACAAGCAGCTTTACTTGAGTGCCTACTGTGTGGCAGCTCCATGCTGGTTGTTTTGTTTGGCCTCCCTGAGTTCCTTACGGCCCAGTAAAGTGTAAGGTAAGAAACTTAAGGTCTTCAGCAATGAAGATGTAGTGTGCTAGAACTCCATACATGAATATTAGTGTTCAGGAGCACTCTGCCTGCCTCTCTGCCCGCCCATCTAATGAAAGGGAAACCCAGAGAAGGCAGTCACTTGCCCAAGGTCACGCAGGAGACCATAGCTGCTGCCGATGGTTTCTGTCACGCACCCCCCCTCCCCACCCGCTCTGGCCGCTCCAATCCGCATCTCTGCGTGCGGGGGCGCGCGCATCCCCCCGCCGCCGTATGTCCGTCATCAGATCTGTCTGGGTGTCTTCCCGGCGTAGGGCGCTGAGCAGAGACAGAGAGACAGAGAGTCAGGGCGTTCGCAGCGCCCCACGCCCGCAGCGGCCTCACGGCAGCGCCTGCGCCCTCCTCAGCCGGTGCTCGGGAGCCGCGGGGGGCAAAGGCGCAGCGATAGGACCAGCGCTCCGCCCGCCTCGCTGGCTCTCTGCTCTCCAGCAAGCACCAGCGCCAGTTCTCCAGGATGAAGAAGCTCCAGGGAGCTCACCTCCGCAAGGTAGGGCACGAGGGCGGAGCGCACCTGCCTGAGGCTGGGAGGATCGACGGGCCAAAGAGATGTCCCCCCCACCCCACCCCGCAAGACTAGAGAACCTCCTCCCAAGATGGATTACGGGGAGGGGCGGGGTCACGATCTCCACTGGTGGGTCGCGGTGTAGAGCTAGGGTCCAGATTCACTGTGCTCCATCTGCAAACAGGTGTCTGCAGCCCCAGGGGGCTCGGATGGATGACTGGGGTCAGATACCGCCCCCTCTTCCAGTTCACCATCTGTTCTACCAGGGTCTGACAAGGTGGGGGCGTTAAGCGCTACAGAGCTCTTCTGAGGTAGTATCACGCCCTGACCTCTCCTGGATACGCTGTATAGACCCAAGGGTCTCTGTCCGCCTCCAGCACACTCACTTCAGTCCTAAGGACTTGGGCCGGGTCCCTCTGCTGTATCCCTTGTCCGTTTTCACTGCAGCCTTCCCTTTCCTGCTGAGCCGACTTCTCCCCTGAGGAGACCCCAGGCAGTCCGTGATCGGGACTGAAGGGAGGCAAGGGTGGGATCTGGGTACCTAAAAATAGGAGGTAGGGTACCGGTAGAGATATCAGGCAGACCTCCATCTCTCTACCTTCCATGCTGGACCTCCCGGTTGTTTGTGGGGGAGAGGGACTACTGAGGTAAGTTTTCCGGCGACTAGCTTTAAAGAGTCAGCCCTAGACCGGGTAAGAGAACTGAGTACTGCTTCGGAAGCTGCCACTAGGTGGTAACTGGTCAGGTTCATTCTCCAGCCAGTCATCTCCCGTGTGGAGAAAACAACCCCTCACCCACTGGGTTGTGTGAGATGTGGAGATGCTATAAACAGGAAGGGGCCACTACAATGGAAAAGACTTCACCGGGGCTGGCTGCTGTTATCACAACACACACACACACACACACACACACACACACACACACGCCTTCATTCACGATTTCTGTCCTTATGCTCCCAGGCCTGGAAACGCTGGGATAGTTGGGTCTTTTCTATTGGCTGACAGGAGTCACTTCTTAAAGCCGTTTATGGTCTCTTGGATCATATTGGGTCTTGTCCCCATTCCCCCGAGGGTTTTCTTTCTCTTCTTTGCTCTTCCTTCCCACTAGAACCTCTTCCCCTCTCTGTCACAGCCACACGTGATAGCACGCGGTAGAAAGCTCTTGCTGGGTGCTCCACAGGAGCTTCTCCAGCCTCTTCTCCTTGAGCCACGCACTAGACTCCACTAGCCCATTTTATAGATGGGGCAGCTGAGGCATAGAAGGAAGTGCTTCACGACTTACCTGGAAGTAGAAGCTACCTAGAACAAGCAGAACAGAGCTGACGCCCCCGCCCCCCATGACTCAGAGAGAAGAGGGCATTTGTGAGCAATGCCAAGGGTCAGCAGAGTAGCAGCTGGCTGGGCTGGGGTGGGGATCTGGTCTTAGGAGAGCTCTGCCCTTGACTTGCCATTTGACCTTGGGCCCCTCCCTTTCCTTTCTGAAGCTCTGTTTTCTGCAGTGAAGTGGGGGATTCCCCAATGCTTTTTGTCTCTACAAGATGGTAGAGGATCCCCCCCGCAGGCTTGGCAGTACTCCCTCTCCTAGCCCCCTTCTCCTGATGTCTGGGAGTGGGGACCCATATCTGTTGGTTCCTAAAAGGGGAGGGGGGTGCAGGTGCATGCTCAGAAGTGTTTTCCTGAATGATTCAGAGTGGGAAGCGGGAGCTCCCAACCAGGTGGAAAAGAAAAGCCAGCCAGGTAGGTTCTGGCCCTGCCCCATTTACTTGGCTGCTGTCTGCAGCTCCTGGACCATCCCCAAAGCCTCCTGGAATTCACCTGATGGTGAGGCTAGGGTGTCATGTAGGTTCCTGATTGGCTCAGCTTTGGGGGACCCCCTATCCCCTGGCCCTAGAATAGGAGAAAGCTTCCTTCTGATTGGAGGAGGTGGGGGACCAGTTGGCAGCCTTCTGCTCTTAGAACTCTCGTCGCCATGGAAACGGATCGGACTGCTCTGTGAGTGTGGAAAGGGCAGCATCTCTGAGGGGATCAGAAGAGCCTCGTTACTGGGACCTCCTGCCAGCCCGCCTGAAAGGGGCAGGGTGTCTGTGGGTGACAGGCCTACCTTGGACCCTAGTGACAAGGGTAGCTGGCTGACACCGCCTCGCTCTTAGGCTGCCTGTACAAGCCTGAGGGTCCCCAAAGGCTGATTCTCACACCTAGAGAGGCAGCCGGAGAGCAGGGGAGGGTGGGGAGGGAGGAGCTCAGCTAAGCCTGGGAGTTGCTGTCACCCTCACCACAGCCTGTCCTAGGCCACAGCGGAAAACTGCCACTCCAGCATCTACGGATCTTAGTTTTAAAGCACCTTTTTCATTTTGTCTGTCACCGCCACCCACAATTATGCCAGGCTGTCCCTGACACTGTTGCCTAACCACAAACACACTTGCTGCCATGGTCACACCGCTGTCACTGAGTCACCTCAAGCCTGCAATTTCAGTGCGGCCGCAGGATCCACTGTCCAGCCTGACACTAGAGCAGACATCTCCAGCTGTGTGATACTTCGTTCACCTCTATTCTCCTTCCAGGGATGGAAGCCAGGCCTGGTATATGAGGACAGATGATCATCACTGAGCCACACCCCGGCTCCCCTTTCATCAGTAATGCTCATGTGGCCAGTGCCGGGTGACGCCTCCTGTGTCACTATCTATTTTGGGTGGAAAGTCTTTAGGAAGAAAACTCCTCTAGTCTGTGGTTTGGCTGAGTCCCTGGGGAGGCTTTTACCTGGCCCCCAGTCATTGTGAGCCTCTAGTGAAGACCTTGGCTCCCTGACACTGCCTAGACTCACAGGTACCAGCACTTGAGACCCTTTTCTTAAACAGAAATTAGGAACATTGCATTCTAGTCCCTATTTGGAATGGCCTGGCTCACTAAATAAGCTGTCCGGTCCTGCAAGTGAAGATAAACATTTTAAATTGTATTAACCCAGCTTTTGACTGGAGAATTCTTCCACAGAATGCCTATGAGCACCTCAAAGGATATGTTTCTGGAAACAATGATCTCCCCAATCTCTACATTGTCTAGATGGGGAAACTGAGGCTCAGAAGACTACGGTCACACAGTGTATTAGCATAGGCCAGGGGCCAGAATCAGTGTCCTGGTTCCCAGGATTTTCCAGGATAGGAAGCTGAGGGCATGTGCTTTTCTCCTGTGGTACACACCATGGCTGGATATTTACCGATTGGTCTGCTTTGTATTTCCATTCTCCTGGGCACTAGGGAGTTTCAAAAGCAAAGAGGCAATGTGGGCTGCCCTCTTCTGACCCCCTCCCACGTTCCTTCCTGGGAGTTGCTCTCTGTATTTCAGATGGTCCTTCTGGTACCTCGGAGCCTCCTTCAGGTACTAAAGCCAGAATAACTCACAAACAGGCCAACTTGCATTCTTTGGGGCCAAGATGCCCAGACCAGAATAACTCACAAACAGGCCAGCTTGCGTTCTTTGGGGCCCAGATCCCAAGCGTCTGGAGCTGACCTCGGCCTCTTAGCCCCAGCCACAGGGAGAGTACCTAGGGGGCCGTGCCAACCACAGCAGATCCTGGAAGGAACCAGTCAGGACACTTGACCTCATTCTTGTCTGCATGTTCTTCTCCATTAATGACAGTTGGACTCTGACTCTCTGAGACAGAGCATAAGAGGTTTCTTTCTGAGTGCAGGCGAAACCCACAGTCCCTGCTAGGCTCTCTGAGCCAAAAGACAGAATTTGGATGCCTTCCTCAGGGAAGCCCACATCAGTCAAGTTCTTTGCCTCCCCTACCAAGGGTACCCTGATTTCTTCTCTCTGTCACCCCTGGAGCCTCTTTTCCTGAACACCTTGCAGTCTGTCCACCTGTCCTTGGGTGTCCTAGTATCCTGATGGAGATAACCTCCAAGTGGGTAAACACCAGGCCATTAGCCTCATGAGTGCTGGGTGCCAGACGTGGCTCTCCTAACAGCCAAGCAGGCAAAAGCCTCAGGTAGGTCATGACCCCTCCCGGAGCCTCGCCTTTCCTCGTGCTCGGAATGCAGTGTGGGTGAGTAGTTGGCTCAGGTGACATGAGTAGAAAGTTTAGTGCTATGATCACTAACACACAGTGACCGTCACAAAGGTCATCGTTGGCCATGGTATTAAAATAGGATCATTCTTGGCCTGTTTCTGCTGGCCAAGATGAAGCCAGACAGTTTCCTAAGGCCTGAGCTACCCTGCTGGTCCCTCAAGATCTCCAAACTAGAGCCTCTTGCAACCAGGTGAAACCGCTTGACTATCTGAACTGATAGAGCATCTCCCACTCAGCCCTGTCCAGTTCCACGGTCTTGGCTTGGGTTCCCAGCTCCACTCTGGCCTCATCTACCTCCCTCTTTGTTTTGTTCCCCTTTCCTGGCAGCCTGTCACCCCAGACCTGCTGATGACCCCCAGTGACCAGGGTGATGTGGACTTGGATGTGGACTTTGCAGCAGACAGGGGCAACTGGACGGGCAAGCTGGACTTCTTGCTGTCTTGTATCGGCTACTGCGTGGGCTTGGGAAATGTCTGGCGGTTTCCCTACCGAGCCTACACCAATGGAGGCGGTATGAGTCTGGGGACCTCTTGGGAGTAGCTGGGGTGACAGATCAAGACTTCTTGTGTTGGGGGAGCTATACGGTGACCTTTGAAGTAAACTTAGGAGGAAGGATGCTCTTTTCATCACCATCCCAGACTCTTCAGTGGGCAGGAGGAGCTGCCCACTAGCTCACAGTGTAAAGTGTAGTACCCACAGTCACTACTCATACACTTTGCCTTGTCTCCTGTCCCCTCCCACACCTCCTCCAAGGCCCTGCCCCACCCACCATTCCTGCTCTAGAATCTTTAGTGTCCCCTCTCCTAATTCTTTCCATTCAGATTGCAGACACAAGATCTATGCTATTTTACAAGCAATTCCCTTTGTCCTTGATTCTCCATCAGGTTAACATTCTAAGCCTCATCAACAATGGCTAGGGCTAGATCCTGGGCTTGGTGCCTGTCTCATGCCCTGAGAACAACCCTTCTAGGTAGGCACCTTGGAAATGCTGAGGTGATCGGGGTCTGGAGAGGCCAAATTATTTGTTCAAGGTCACATGATGCAGATTCAACCTTCCAACTGTCTTCCCCAGGGCTACGTGCTCTTACTATAGCTCCAAATCCCTCTCCCAAACTTGTTAAGAAGTGTGTGTTGGTAAAGAGAAACCCAGGTAACACTAGAGCAAGCAAAATCGTGAGCCCACCACAGGCCTCCAAAACCCCAGGACTCTCCCCTCCCCCACTCCCTGCTTCCCTATCCTTTCTGTATGTTGATCTCACTTTTTCCTTAGACAAGCAGCCCTCATCCATGAAGTTGGGGTGGGGAGCCCAGACATAGGCACTTCCGGAATGACTCTGCTCTGGAGGGTTTAGCCATCCAGAACCTCTTGGAAGATCACCAGAATTGGTGCACGCCTTTAATCCCAGCACTCAGGAGGTAGAGGCAGGCCAGCCTGGTCTACAGAACGAGTTCCAGGACAGGCTCCAAAGCTACAGAGAAACCCTGTCTCAAAAACAAAAGCAACAAAAAACGATCACCTGAATGAATCCATATACAGGATTGCAAGGGAAGTGAGCGGTGTGACTTGGATATTTACCCACATCTCTTCAGGAGGGAGGGCAGAGGGCTAGCTGTGCAACTCCAGCCCTTCCAGAGCCAGCTGGTAGTAGGCAGCTGTCTGAAGGAGGTGGCTGTCTATGTGCGAAGAGAAGGGGAAGGATGCCAGGCCCAGGAAACTGCAAGGCCCATGAAATCTCAGGTGTCAGCCAGCTCGTCTGAGGCAGCATTCATGAGGAAGGGACCACTGGAACCGATTCTGGAGGTGCAGAGCTGGCGCTCTTGGCAAGATAACTCATTTATCCACTCTTCACGAATTCACTCACTCAGCAGGTGCTTCTGGAGTGTCTGTTCTGTGCCCAGCCACTCCTGGGCTCTCTTGCTACAGGAATGTGCAAATACCCACTAGCTCCCCCGGCCTCAGTGACTCTTGGGAGACGTGTTCCATCCCCCACAGGTGGATGGTAGGTGGCTGCTGTCAAGGGACAGCGGTGGGGCCTTGGGGGGTGTTCACCTGACTCCCACCCCCATCTGCTTCCTCTCTGCAGGAGCCTTCCTTGTTCCCTACTTCCTCATGTTGGCCATCTGCGGCATCCCCCTCTTCTTTCTTGAGCTTTCCCTGGGCCAGTTCTCCAGCCTGGGACCCCTGGCTGTCTGGAAAATCAGCCCCCTCTTCAAAGGTAAGGCCGCAGTGATTCCTGGCTTTGTCGAGCCAGCGGGAACCTTGGGGAGAAGTTGCCCTCCTCTCAGGCTCTAGCAGGGAGGTGACGCTGTCCCTTCCCTGCTCCAGGTGCAGGTGCGGCCATGTTGCTCATCGTAGGCCTGGTGGCCATCTACTACAACATGATCATCGCCTATGTCCTCTTCTACCTCTTCGCCTCCCTCACCAGCAACCTGCCCTGGGAGCACTGTGGCAACTGGTGGAACACAGAGCGCTGCCTGGAGCACAGAGGCCCCAGGGATGGCAATGGGGTGCTGCCCCTTAACCTCAGCAGTACTGTCAGCCCCAGCGAGGAGTACTGGAGGTTGGTGGGACTGGGGTAGCCCCTGAGGGTGGGCAGGAGGAGGGGGTGCTGTGCCGGCCCGTGGAGGCTCCTCTCCTGGCCAGCTACTTTTAGAACAGGACAACTGCCCTGACTAATTCAGAAGGTGACTGTGCAGGGAAGAGTGCATGAGAACTGTGGTCTAGCTCCAGGGTGAGGGGTTAGTAGGTGCCCGTTTATTAATGAGAGTGACGTTTATTATCAAAAGTGACATGTTAGAGTCTCAGTTTCTTCCACTGTCGCAGTGGGGGTGGTAACCACACCGGCTTCATAGGACCTTTGTCCATTTAAGTCACTCTCTCATGTATCCGTTCTTTGAATGAGCATTTATTGAATTCACTACTATGTCATTTGGTAAAACACTTACCATAGAGCCTGGTCCCTATGGAGTTAGAACCATCTCAGATTAGTGTAAGAGCAGAGGTGAGATGAAGGTTGCCTGGGAGGTTTAAACAGGCAACATGGATAAAGCTCTCATGAGCCCCGGAATGTTGGCTTCGGGAAGACATTGGGGCTAATTAGCCTATCGCAGCTGAAAAACAAGGGCCAGGAGCTTGCTCAGAGGCGGCAATGGTGATACTAAGGATTCCCGACTCTCAGGTCTTGTTCCAGGATGTTCTAGAAGAGCCCAGACCCTGGGTGACTAGTCCTTCCTTCCCCTTGCTCATGATCACTCTCAAGGGTTTCCCTGTGTGTATACATTTGCAAATACCAGGTTCATCAAGCCTACACCTGCTGTTTGTGCCCCAAAGGAGGTGGGGAGAGCTAGAGGCAAGCTGGGCTCAGCCAGTCTGAGAAAAATGGGAGGGATTTCCAAAGCATCACATGGGGGGGAAGCTACTGGACATGACTCCCCCCACATACCTATGGAGTGTGGCAGGGTGACCAGAGGATTCTCGGATTGTTGTCTCCCACAGTCGCTATGTCCTGCACATTCAGGGCAGCCAGGGCATCGGGCAACCGGGGGAGATTCGCTGGAACCTCTGCCTCTGCCTGCTGCTGGCCTGGGTCATCGTGTTCCTCTGTATCCTCAAAGGGGTGAAGTCCTCGGGCAAGGTGAGGCTTGGGAGGCAGGGGGCCAAAATTCAGGGGCTGGAGAGGAGGTAGGGTGATGGCCAAGGTTGAGAAGGTGATAGAATTCACCTGGTGAGGGCTCTGCTCAGAGGGCATGGAGGTTACTAGGGACCCTGGGCCTCCCTGCTTCTCAAGGCTGGGTACCTGCTTTGGGCAATACCCATAGATTATTCAAGTTGGTGTCCTTTCTCAGAGCTTGACAATTTGCAGATTCAGTGAGGGTGTGTGGAATGCTTATGGGATGGGTATATAGATCAGACCTCTTGGAGCAGCAGGTGATCTGTACATAGATGTTACACTAACTGGAAAGCCCCCCCCCCCCAAGGTGGGAGACAACTTTGGCATGGGCTGGTCTGGGGTTCCATGGCTGTTACCACACTATGCTCCTCTGATCTTTCTCTCACTGAAGCCTTCCTCCACATTGGCTTCCTCCACCTGCTTCTCCAGTCTGCAAATCTTGTAGAACTTACCTTATTGGGTAAGGCAGGCTTACCACAACTTACCCACCCACCCTATACCTGATCTTTGTGGCAGGAAAGGATTATCTGTTTGGCTTGGCCTGTTCATGAGCCCACCCTGCTGCTGGACATGAAGTGAATCCCTTGTAGGGAAAGTTGGACTACTGTTAGCAGGTGAAGACAAACTAGATATAATCAGTAGGCACTGCAGGTGGTGGGCAGAGAGAAGGGCAATAGGATGTTTGTCAAAGGCCATAAATGACCTTGGCTAAGCAAGAGGACATCACTATACAATATAGGGTAGAAAGTATTAGCCAGGAGGGGCCACCACGGTCACCATCAAGGCAGAAGATGAGATAGAGAGTGGCCGACTAGATGTTCAAGAAGTTGGGAGTGTCTGGTAGCTTACAGGGGTACCAGCTAGGCACAGGAGGAGGAGACTCACCACCAGTGGTGCTAGCCTGTATCAGGGGAAGTAGTAGAAACGGGACTGGGGGGTCCTTGGAAGGAGGGTAGCAACACTGGGCTGCTGATGGATGGAGCAGGACCAGAATGATGGCTGTTCCTGGTTCAGAACCACCAAAAGTTGAAAAGGTGGGTGTCTGGGATGAAGTCTGGGTCAGGCAGAGCTGTACGGAATCCTCTGCCACTCCCACCTGCCCTCTTCCAGGTGGTGTATTTCACGGCCACCTTTCCCTACCTCATCCTGCTCATGCTGTTAGTGCGAGGAGTGACCCTTCCCGGGGCCTGGAAGGGCATCCAGTTCTATCTCACACCCCAGTTCCACCACCTATTGTCTTCAAAGGTGAGTGGGGAGCATGAAAGGAAAGGGGGGCAGGGGTGAAAACCCTCCAAGGGGAGCCTCCAGCAGTAGCAATTTACCAGCCCTTCTTGTGTATCAACGTTTATTCTTTAAAATCCCATGAAGCAGTCACACACACACACACACACACACACACACACACACAGAGAGAGAGAGAGAGAGAGAGAGAGAGAGAGAGAGAGAGAGAGAGAGAGAGAGACGCTTATAAGAATTAGTGATGGGGGCTGGAGAGATGGCTCAGCGGTTAAGAGCACTGACTGCTCTTCCAGAGGACCTGGGTTCGATTCCCAGCACCCACATGGCAGCTCACAACTGTCTGAAAATGCAGTTCCATGAGATCTGACACCTTCACACCAACAAACATAATAAAGTTAAATAAATAAGTAAAAAAAAAAAAAGTTTAAAAAAAAAAAAAAAAAAAAAAAAAAAAAAAAAAGAATTAGTGATGGGCATAAGGTCTCATAGCTGGGGCTCCATTTAGATCTGTCTGGCTCCAAAGCCCAGGTGGGGACTTCGTACCAGTGATGACCACAGCATATTAGACAGCTGACACTATTGACCGTTGACTATACCTGAGACTGCTCTACTTTCATAGTGGTTTAACCCTCACTGTGCCTCCCCACAAGGCAGGCACTATTCTAGGTCCTTCACCACAGATGAGGGAGCGCAGAGAGGTAACAGGGCTTGTCCAGGATGTACAGTTAAAAACTGGTAAAGATGGGTCCCAGTTCAGATACCTCTGACTCCAGGTAGGGAGTAAAGTGGTTACATGGGCCTGTGTTCAGCTCCAGTCTGTTGCCAACTCTACATTAGTCACACCTTCCCTCAAGACTGGGCCAGGCTTAGAGACCGTTTGCTAGACCCTGGGTGGTAAACTGAGTCTCAGAAAAGGGGAAGGACTTGCCCACGTCCCGCATCATAAGTGCTGGGGCTGAATCTGCTCCTGGCCCTCATTTGTGACCCCAGATATTCCTCATTCCTGAACCTATCTCTCTCATCCTCACCCTCCTCCTCTTCTCCTGGGCCCTCCTTGCCTTCCCCGTCCCTCTTTCCTTGGCACAGGTGTGGATTGAAGCTGCTCTTCAGATCTTTTACTCCCTGGGAGTGGGTTTTGGGGGTCTCCTCACCTTTGCCTCCTACAACACATTCCACCAGAACATCTACAGGTCAGTGCCTGCAAGCTTCCCAGTGCCAGGGGCCAAACTCAGGAGGACAATTGCCCAGGAGGCTCTCTTGGGTTGAGGTTGTGGCCGGCTCACCCTGGCTTGGGTTTGGACTCTCCCGGCAGAGACACGTTCATTGTTACTCTGGGCAATGCCATCACCAGTATCCTGGCTGGCTTCGCTATCTTCTCGGTGCTGGGCTACATGTCTCAGGAGCTGGGTGTGCCGGTGGACCAAGTGGCCAAAGCAGGTAGGTGGGGGTAGCATTTGAGGGTTTGGTTGGGTGACTGGTGACTGGGCCACAGGGCATGCTATCAACACAGACTGGCGAAATAGGGAATAGCTGTGTTCACGCACACGCACGCACGTGTGTGGGAGCATCCGTGTGTAGATGCATGGGTGTGCAAGAGTATGAAACAATCTGCTAGAGACGAGAGAGTTTCTGTATGAGGCTGTCTTATCTTTTGGGTCTTGTTTGTCCACTCAAGTCACGTCCCGGGTTGAGTGCATGTGTGGAAGTGAACCTAAGGTGCCAGTGGTCTGTGAATACGCGTGTCTTGTGTCAGTGGATGAGTGTAAGTGGGATTCTCTGTACAAAGGAGTGTGTGCAGACCTGTGTTCTAATTAGGGGCTACATTTGGTTTCTGCGTGTGTTTGTGCATGGCTGCTAATTTGTATTCAAGGGTCCCATGCGCTGGGCACCTGTCGTGTGCCAGCCTGACTCCTGGAAACGAGGTGTGAATGTTAGTGTTCAGTTAGTGTTTTTCTCTGGACTTGGGTGTGGTAAATGAGAACAGTTCCACACAGACACAAGCCACCTGTGTATTTGAATGCATAGTGGGGCATACTGTGTCCTTCAGGCTGCTGACCCTGCACGTCCTGGGCCCAGGCCCTGGCCTGGCCTTTGTTGTCTACCCACAGGCCATGACTATGCTGCCCCTGTCACCTTTCTGGTCCTTCCTCTTCTTCTTCATGCTTCTGACTCTTGGCCTGGATAGCCAGGTGAGCCTCACCCATGGGAGTGGACGCCGATATGTGTGTGGGTAGAACGCTAACCTCAATACCCTTTGCAGTTTGCCTTTCTAGAGACCATAGTGACTGCAGTGACTGATGAATTCCCATACTACCTGCGGCCCAAGAAGGCGGTGTTCTCAGGCCTCATCTGCGTAGCCATGTACCTGATGGGGCTGATCCTCACCACCGATGTGAGTGACTTGCAGGGGCGCACAAGCTCGGGGAGCTGGGCAGGGCAGTGCTTGCTGCAGTAGTTACTCCAGAGTTCTGACCTGCTTTAAACCTCAACCGTGCACGTGCTGAGTGACTCCAGACAAGGGAATTTCCCTCTCTGAACCCATTTTTCCTCATCCATAAATGGGTTCTGTTAGGAGATCCGGTGCTCTAGCTGCTTCCCACTGCCTCCTACTGGAAGAAGATAGGCTGCAGCAGAGAAGGAGACCGAGGCTGGAAGCCCAGTCCTGTGCTTTGTGTTCTAGGGGGGCATGTACTGGCTGGTCCTTCTGGATGACTACAGCGCCAGCTTCGGACTCATGGTGGTGGTGATCACCACGTGCCTCGCCGTCACCCGGGTATATGGTGAGAAGGGCCGGGGGAGGCAGGCTGACACGCCTCAGAGAGAACAGGGTGTGGGCCCTGTGCTAGTGGTCAGTCAGGGAAACAGGCGTGGAGGAGGGGGTCCCAGGTACTGGAGGGACCCTCATGAGGACACTCCTTCTCCTCCCCTGTGCAGGCATCCAGAGGTTCTGCCGAGACATTCACATGATGCTGGGGTTCAAGCCAGGCCTCTACTTCAGGGCTTGCTGGCTGTTTCTGTCCCCAGCCACACTCCTGGTAACCAGGGGTGGGAGGGAAGGTGGTTGGCTGGGGCCCCAAGGTCAAGGGCAGGTCCCTTTGCACTTAGTCCAGCTGGCTTGCCCCTGCTCTGAGGAGCCTCTACCAGTAAGCATAAGGATCTAGTTTTCTGAGCTGAGCTATTCTGGCAAGTGGATGGGACTTTGCTAATTCCTAGGACCTTGGGAGGGGGTCTCCGTCGTAGGATGGGAGCAACTGGGAGAGAGCCTGTCTCAGGATTTAGGATATGTCTTACCTGGGCTGTCACAAACTTTCATATTGAGTCAGCTTTGAAGCTGGCCAATAGCCCAGGTCTGGCAAAGGGCCCAGAGATGGACTGTCTTCGGTTCTGGTACAGCTTAGAACTATGGGTAAGTCCCAGTTAGGCTCTCTCAGGCCTTAAGGTGTCCAGACCCAGACCCAGGCCATGCCATACTCTGAGTCCCATTGAGGACCAGTGATGCCGGAGTCTCCACTCTGCAGGCCTTGCTGGTGTACAGCATCGTCAAGTACCAGCCCTCGGAGTACGGCAGCTATCGCTTCCCTGCCTGGGCTGAACTGCTAGGCATCCTGATGGGCCTGCTCTCCTGCCTCATGATCCCAGCTGGCATGCTGGTGGCTGTGCTTCGAGAGGAGGGCTCACTTTGGGAGGTGAGTCTGCCTTTCCTGCCTACCTACAGTCTTCCGGCCCTGCAGCTGAGCCCTCGGTGTTATAAAACCACCTGTGCCGACATCTTCTCCAGAGCCTGGCAGGATTCTTGTAGCCTACAGAGGCCCGTGTGGTCTAGATTCACTTGGGACTGGGATCATGATCTGAACCTCATATCCCATGGGGCCGTGGTGCTGGGATTAAAGAGAAGAATGAATCCAAAGACCACTGATGATAGTGTAAGGGTCAGGATGTGAACTTGGAGACCAGAGCCAGTGAACAACATTGAAAGACCCCAGAAGGTAGGCTGTCTCCCTTGTTCTGTGTCCGGGATCCCGGCTGGGTTTATAGGTACTAGGACAGAATGGTTATTTTAAAGAGAGTAATTGGCACAGGAGCCAACAGGGCTCCAAAGAGACAGATAGCAACCCACAGTGAACCAGCAAATATGCTGTATGACCACAAGGGGATCCTGCCTGTCTCTGAGCCCCAGGCACCCTGGCCATTATGAGTCTGGAGTCCTCCCATGACCAGAGTCCCAACAGCGCTAATGGCCCTACTCCAGATTCCTCTAGTCTGTCCTTCTCTATAAAGACAGGGATGACTGCCAATAAGGCTGCTGTGAGGAGAAAAGGAGCCAGTCAGACTAAGGAACAGAGAAGCAGAGCATTAGAAAAGTTCAGGATGGTGCCTATGCAGGTTCAAATCCCAGTGCCATCACTTCCCACCTTTGTGACTTTGGGCAACTTAAGTGACTTCTCTGAGCTTTAACTTTCTGATGATATGTGTGGGAGCAGAGAGGGTGGAGTGTGACTGACCCTTTTATTGGGTGCTTCCAACCAAACAGGTACCACAAAGAGTAAAAGGGCCAACACCTAGCACAGAGCTTGGGCGTTCTACATGCTCAATTCCAGACCAGGAGTTTCTATAGAGGGTGGTTTTTCCTTGATCAGTTTCCAGGAGTATTGTTGGTGGTTGTGGAGGGTACCTGAAAGGACTATAGGCTGCGATTGTGGTTAGCACCCTCCCATGTACAGGACAGCCCCACAGCTGATGCTAAGGAACCACGGCTTGGACTTCTTTTTGTGTGTGCAGACACATCTAAATCCTTGCTCTCGGGGACCTTGTATTAAGGACTTGGTAGTGCTGGCTGAGCGCTACCCCTCAAAAGAACAAACTGAAAAGCAGAATACAGAAATAGAGTGATAAAAGATGCTATTTTAGCTAGGGCAGTCAGAGTCAGAGAGATGGACAAGGTGATGTGGAAGAGAACACTCCCGCAGCAGGCAATAGAGACAAAAGCCATGATAGAAGGACAGCTGGCATGTTTGAGGCCAGCAAAGAGGCCCATGTGACTGGAGCAGATAATGGAAGGAGAGCGACAGGTCCAACCAAGGTTGTAGAGTAGCTTACTTTGTTTTCTATTGTTGTCCTTAAAACACCACAACTCGGGGCTGGAGAGATGGCTCAGTGGTTAAGAGCACTCACTTGCTCTTGCAGAGGACACGAGTTCAATTCCTATATCAGGTAACTCACAACTGTCTGTAGCTCCAGCTCCAAAAGGTCTGCTACTTTCTTCTGGTCTCCCCAGACACCTGCACTGACATGTACACACCTACACACAGATACATGCACATATATGTATTTAAAAGTAAACTTAAATACACACACACACAACATGCATACCACAGCATGACCAAAAGCAAGCTGAGGTGGAAAGGATTTATTTGGTTTGTGTCAAGTTGGCAAAAACCAATTCAGTACAGGAAGGTAGGCAGGGCAGGGCACAGAGATCATGGCAAGCATCCAGATTTCATTCCAAGAAAGAGAAGACACCATTGGCGAGTTTGCGAGGAGCTGGCTCTAATAGCCCAATGAGTGCCACCACAGTCTGAGTGCCAGTGACCTTGGCACTAGACCAAGAGCTTTCAGACTGTACCCTTGGAATCTGCACCCCATGAGCTTCATCAGTTGTCAGTGGCCCCCTTCTTTTTCTCAAGGTACAGGGCTCTTCCTCCAGGAGGACGGGAAGAGGATGAAGGGGATCAGGAATTGTAGGCTTCATCAGTTCCCCCCTTCTTGGACACTGGACTCTGAGAAGTGTCCAAGGAGGTCACCTCAGCTCTGCCTCTGTTCTGGCTTCCACTTCTTCCATAAAAGCCCCCAGAAAGTCTGGATTTGGCTTTCAGCAGAAGGGAGCTGAAGTGGGCTCTGAGTCTACCCTTAGATGCTTGTCAGGGCATGTGTGCGTCTTGTCTCATAGCCTCAGAAGCCATGTTATTCCCAGCATCGATTGGTTATATCCTGACAATGTCCCAGTGTGGAGTTTTACAGACGGTTCCTTGATGCCACCAGTCCAGAAGTGGCAGAGCAGATTCCCACTGGGTACAGGCAGGTCTTTGTTGGGTACCTGGTCATGGGAAACACTCAACGCCTGTTGTCATTGCTCTGCCACAGCGGCTTCAGCAGGCCAGTCGGCCTGCTATAGACTGGGGCCCATCCCTGGAAGAGAACCGGACAGGAATGTATGTGGCCACACTGGCTGGGAGCCAATCACCAAAGCCACTGATGGTGCACATGCGCAAATATGGAGGCATCACCAGCTTCGAGAATACGGCCATTGAGGTGGACCGTGAGATCGCAGAGGAGGAGGAAGAGTCCATGATGTGACACTGGGGACCACCAAACAGGAGGGCTGGCCGGGGCCTCGCAGGGGACAACTATGCCTGCTGGGATTCTGAAAGACAGATGGAGGTTACTACATCCGTGCCAGTCCCCAGTATAAGTCCCTCTCTGTGGCCTCTGCCTCTCCTGGGACCTCTATCGAGATGGACACACACACACACCCCGTAGTCCATTCAAAGCTGCAATGGTCCAGCTCAGCCCTCACTTTACAGAGGGATGTGTTGAAGCCAGGGAGGGAAGAGCTGGTCCAAGGTCACATGGCCAAGAGGACTTGTTCCCAAGCCTCCAGCCAGCTAATTCCCTTTCTCCCAAGTTCAACGGGACATATTTGATATCTTTGTTCAGACATTTTGACAAGACACATTTCCATACAAGCCGACTTTAGACCTGGGGTTCCAGGTAGTGAGAAGCCTGGAGGGTTCCAAGGACCTGAATATAGAGTTAGGAAATGAATTGGGCAGTAAAATATCTCTGTGGGTTCCTGTGTTAAGGCCAAGTTTCCCAGAAGAGGTGGGAACCTAGGGGGCTGGCGGATGTGATGGATTGCAGAACAGACTGGAGGGAGGGCTTATGGGTCAGAGCTGTCCTGGAGCCGGGAGGGGGCCAACCTGCCAGAGCAGGGACCAAGAATGGCTGGAGATGGCGATTCTCACAGGTTACAAGAGGGAGTGAGGAATAGCAGGGAGGGGGAGCCAGAAAGGTGGGGTGGGAGGGGCTTGCATGGCGCTGCGTATCATTTTAGGTCTGTTTAGTGTGGATTAGGGACAGGTATAGAGACGGGAGGCTGGTGAAGGACAGGTGAGAGGTTTGGGTGGGAGTAGGTAGGCAGAGCCCACCCTTCACCCTGTGGACTTTATGCCATGGACTGGCAGGAGACCCGAGGAACACCAGCCATGGAAATAGGAATGCAGGCCACAGTCAGGACCCTGCTCCCCTGTCCCTGTGCTTTCCAATGACAGAGACACCCAAGACTCAGAGATGGTTCACATAGGACATATGTCCTGATGCTACAGGGCACCTGACATGAGGGAAGCCTCTGTCCTGGGTCCCCGAGAGATGGCATTCAGGCGTGGCCACCAGGCGTCCGTCCTGACATTGCATTTCCCAACAGAGCAGGGCACTTTTATACAGCATAGTGAGTGACCCCTGTGCCCACCATTCTCCTGGCATCTCCCCAGCCCATTTGTGTTCTGCTGGCTGATTGTCAATAAATACCAAATGAGGTCACCTTCCTTATCTGACTCTTTGCTACTGGGGGGCACAGTGGGCATCACAGAGTACGTGACAGCTCCCACTGGACGGAGGAGGAGCCCAAGGCTGGCCACCTGTGCCTTGCAACCCTGACTTCTGGTGTTCGCTTTGTCATGTTTCTGTGAATTAATGCTGAGCTCCTAAATGCCGTGCACCATGCCTCCCGTCTGCCCTCTGTGCACTAGAACCTAGTTCGCGAGCTTCGGGCAAGGGGCTGGAGGTTGAGGAAACACAAGCAGAGACAGACCAACACAGGGACCTCCAATCGCTGGTACAAAAGCCCCTCTTTAATAGCACCATGGAGGCTTAAATACCCGGCCGACCAACAGGTGAAAATCCCATCCTCTGATCCTCTAGGCTAGGCATAGCTTCTAGTAACTTCAATTAGAAGGCTCTAGACAGGGAAGAGCAGCTGAAGGCCAGGACTCAGTTCGTCCCAACACCTAAAAATGCTCAGTCTCCCCATTTTACATAAAGACAAATGGAGCCCCAGAGGGGAGAGACTTACCCAAAATGGAGAAGATAGCAGGTCATGACAGCATCCTCCACCACCCCTAAAGTCTGAGCTGGAGCTGATGGATTGGTCTTAGGGTTTGCTAAGCAGAAGAATCTCCTGGTGTTCTCAGCCCCTTCCCGCAGGGCCTCAACACATGAAAGAGCCCTGAGCCTTTCTAATGCAGACCCAGGTGTCTGCAAGGCTTTGATGGGGAAGAAAGGAAGGTGGCTGCCGTTGGGTATTAATACATTTCCCTTTACAAAGGGCCAGGCCCCCCTTTGCTGGTACTGCAAGTGGGAAAGGGTTGATGTGGCACCCCTTTTTCCCCAGGCAGGCTCCCCTTTCCACACCAGGTACAGCCTCCACTTTCTGTCGGCGGTGGGGGGGAGGGGTTAGGCTGGCCTGCAGCCTTCTTGCCACACCCACGGAGAGCTGACTCACTCTGCTCACTGGGGTTGAGGGCCTTGCCTTGGGCACCTAGTCAGGGCTGCAGCTGGTGACCAAGGCCTGAGACTGGAGGACTTGGAGCTGAGACCTCACTTTTCTCAAATTGCAGTGCGAGGTGGAAGGGTCGGAAGGTTATGTGGTACCCCAGTTTCGTGACTGCAACCTCAAAACTTCAGCTTTCCTTTGTACACCCGATTTCTTCACCTTCCTGGCCCTGCTCTCCAGCCCAGGCCCTGGACTCGCAAGTTCTTGTGTTAACTCCGCTCAGTTTCTAGCCCAGAATGCCTTTTCCATTCCCATGTTTTCTGACTGTGCTTCCTGTTGGGCCACAGTGTCCCTTTGCTTGTGCCGACTCCCAACTGCCCCGACCTAGCTCTTCACCGATTTCAGATCTCTCTGAGTCACAACAGACTTGGGTAGATGCCAGCCAGTTTGGGGAGCTAAATGGGAACCAGAGATCCCGTCTGGAGGGCTCCATTGCAGCCTAGGATGTAAACAAAGGAGACACTGGCTCTGTCCACAATAGGAAGGACCCCAGCCTGGAATCTAGAAGGTACTGGTTGCATAAAACCCCAACGGTCCATAGAACCAGGTTAGGGAGGCAAGGTGAGCAATAATTTTGAAATGGGTGGGAGGACAAGGAAGCGATCCTCTTTGGGTATTGGCAGGACAAGAGGGCGGATGGGTGTGGGAAGCAGAACAGGAACCATATCTATTGTGGTCTTGATCTTGAGACTTATGCCATGTCCCAGCAGGCAGCCTGGTTGCAGTGTGTCCTAGCTGCTCTCAGAAGGTAGATGTGTGTCCTCGCTTCCAAAGAGTACTTGGTGGTGTGGATTTTGGGTGCAGGTTCTAAGCTCAGCAGACTCAGGGCTGAGCAGCTCAGAGGACATTTTGGCACTTACCAAAATCTCCCAGGACCGTGCTGGAGCAAGGCCAGGCCTAGTCTCTGTTCCTACTGGGCCATCTGCTTCTAGCCTCAGCTGATCTCTGCATCCATACGTCTCTGAACTTTGTGCTCTTGGGGAGCACGGAGAGACAGCATGTCAGCCTGGCAGGGATGTGGTAGAGGATGCTCTGGGTCCATGCACTTCTGCCCTAGAGTTTGTTAGAGCGAGTGTCCTCCTGGGTACCGGAAAAGGCTGCTGACTATTCCCCGCAACCACGTCTAGTTTATTCTCTTTGGATAGCAACCTAGATGGGATGGGCCAAATGTCTCTTCTTCAGTCAGGTTAAAGATAGCCGTAGTCGAACCAAAAGCTACAGAGAAACCCTGTCTCGAAAAAAAAAAAAAAAAAAAAAAACAAAAAAAAAAAACAAGATAGCCATAGTCCCAAGACCAGCAGAGAGGAGGGGGAGGGTGGCACATTGGTTACCTTAGCAGGTCCTCAGTAGCCCCACCCACTCCTGCTGCCCTCCGCCAGCCCAGGAAATTCATCTCTGCCTGTGTCCACACCGACCCAGGCTGTCCTCTGCTTAGACCATGCCTCCACCCTGATCCTGTGCCATCAGACTCCTAGCCAACTACATGAGCTTTCTTCAACTCCCAGCCACATGTGACTCAGCCCCACATCTGGTGAGTTCAGACAGCCAAGCCTTTATGTCTGTGGCACTCATGTCGTTCCGAGACAGCATATTCTATTTCTATGCCATCGAGATTCTTATCTCATGCTCCTCGGACCTAGGATGCGGCAGGGGACTCTGGCTGTGCAGCCACAGGCTTGGCCTGTTCTCAGCCCTGCCTGCCTGAGCCATGTGATCAAAAGAAGTCGCTATGCCTCTCCAAGCTTCAGACTCTTTCCCTGTAAAGGGATAGCCACAGTTCTTCAGTAGGAACCTCAGTGGGGCTGAGGGTGTGTGTGTGTGGGGGGGGGGGTTCTGTGAGGCTCCAACACAAGCAGAGGCATACATCTGTCGGTTGAAGGCCTCCAGGACCAACCTTGGACACCACGGGTCTTTCTCAGACATGCACAGTGGAATGGCAAACTGAACTCAGTTCTCTGGTGGCTCTGGGGACAACCGTCTAGCGTTAAGAGAACTGTGGGCCCCTGGGAATACCATGGGTCCTGGGTTGTTCACCTTTCAGGATTGTGGTGCGCTGTTTTTAACACTCTTTTTTTTTTTTTTTGCTGGTGGCTCATGGAAAGTTTGGCTTCTTTAGTTTCAGGCCCCTCCTTCCAGGGCCTGAGTTCTCAGTGACACTGGCCCTGGCCTGGAAAGGCGTCCAGGGATGTCTGCCCACAGCATGTCCTTGGCCTGTATCCCCTGTCTCCGCCTGACTTCCTGTAACCCAGGACTTCTCTCCAAGGGACTGGGCAACAGTCCGCCCACTCAGTCCTGATCCACAGGGAGGTCTCCTCCCAGCACCCTCGTCCAGGCTTGGTTTTTTTTTTTTTTTTTTTGGTTAGGCAGAGAGAAAAACGTTTTTTCCATTAATGTCCACAGCGTCTGGGAGCTACAGCCCCTAGGGGATTGCTGTATGTAGGAGCCAAGGCAGTGCAACATGGTCAGAGTCAAATCCTGGCTCCACAGCCCTGAGAATCTGCTACTTGATGTTTCCAAACCCAAAGCCCCTTCTCTGTAAAATGGCGAGTTACTTTTCCTTTTGCAAGAGATTAAATGTGATACTGTTAGGTCCCTAGACCACACTTGGAAAAAAAATACCATCAAAGTGCCTAACACAAAACTGAATACTTAGAAACCTGTTAGGTAAGATCATGCAGGCAAGAAAGAGACTCAGCTTCCACCTCCAATAAGCCCAGGGAGGAGGAGGCCAGGGTCTCACAATACTGGAGCCTGGAACAAGCTGCCATCGGGCCCAGGACTTAGCAATACTGTGACGACAGCCCTCAGTGCTCCCATCCTAAATCAAGTAAGTTGAAGTGGGAAGCCTTGGGTAGATCGTCCCCTAACGGCATCTTGGGGCAGCCAGCAAAGCATTTGAGACTGGAGGGGGTGGTGAATGAGTGCAGAGCCCCTAACTCAGGGACTTTTAAAACCATTGCTGCCTGGGCCCCTGCCCAGTCTAACAGATCTTACTCCCAGAGAGTAGGGCCTGCTATACACGTGTATCTAGTGAACTCCATGAGTGAATCTGAAACAGCCAACCCCAGTCCCACATTTTAGAACCACAATTCAAGGTCATTCTTAAAATTTATTTATTTTTATTTTATGTGCCTTGGTATTCTGCCTGCCTGAGGGTTGTGAACCGCCATGTGGGTGCTGGGAATTGAACACCCCCCCCCTCCTCTGGAAGAGCTGTTGGCACTCCCAACTGCTGAGTCATCTCTCCAGTTCCCCAAGGTCATGCTTATAATGAGGAAACAGAGGTCCAGAGAGGGGCTGTGTCTCACTGAGAGCCATACCAAGAGAGGACAGTCTTTATCCTTCTTCTGAGTGTTAGGAAGCTAATACTTCCAGCTCCTTCCGTCTAGGTCTGAGAAGTGAGGTGTCTGGGTTAGACTTCCCTCAAGGAAGTGGCCTCTGGGGCCTTGGTAGTCCAGGTGGGGGAATGGAGGAAGGACAAGGAGAGAGGCCATTCCCTCTGAGTTTGTATTTGTTCTGCCTCTTCCTGAGTAAACACCCCCAGAACCCACTAGGTAGGGGGTGTTTTCTGAGGGATTTACACCCCAGGCCCGGGGAGCCCGTTTCCACTGCTGGAGGCACAACCATGCTGCAGTCCGTTCAGGGCTCCCCTGGCCCGCTCATACTTCTGGTTCCCCACAACTTCCTCCTATGCCTGCTTCCCACACGCACACACTTCCAGGCTGTCGACTGGTGCCTTGTCTCTAGTTCTCTCCCGTCCCTCCTGTGAGTGTTCCCGCAGAGTCTCCTGTCAGCCTCTCCTCTTTCCCCCAGCCCCAGATCTGCTCCCCCCTCCCCAGCCTGTCCTGAGACTTGCCTCTTGTGGTCCGACACAGTGTCAGGGATTCCGGAAGACAGGAAATAGCTCATTTTCAAGTCTTCTTGAGACCCCAACCTGGCCCCAGCACAGCCCAGAAAAGTCAGCGTTTGGTGTGGCTCGGGATCCGACTCACCCCCACCAATACCCCAGCCCCATTGGGCAGCTTCTCTTACCCTTCAGCTGCACAGTTGCCCTATTCACACGTGGCCCGCCATGGGGCTGGGCTGATGACTGAGAGCATCCAAGTGAAAAAGACGGGAGATGTGTGGACTTGGTCAGCACCTAATAAGGGAAGGCCATTGCTGTTGCAGATTGGCGGGATGACATGTCTGCTTGTGTCGTGTCTGTGCGTCTTTAATCCCAGCGACATGCTTGCCGGGGTCGGCTTCAGGCAAGAGGGGAAATGCCTCCTGCATGCGTCCCGAGTGGGTACTTGCTGCCCTCCTGCCTTTGAGGAGCACATGGATTTATGGACACTTGTTTAGGTCTGTTGATGGGGTAGGGAGAGGGCATTGTAGGAGGCTGGGACCTAACCAAGAAGGTAGAAACCACAGGAGTGGACAGTAAAGATGAGGCTAAAAGGGGATCAGGTGTCAAAAGTGGGGGAGCTTCTCAGATCCCCACTCACTATTTGCTGATGTCCAGAGTTGGAAAGGCACAGAACAGAGGAACGGGGATCCCTAGAGGACCTAAAAGTTGGGTGCGTTTGGGCTCAGGGTTCCCAAGCAGCTGAGTCTTGCTGTCTTCCTTGCTCCCCAAAACTGTTGTAACTAGGGAAAGTGGTGTGAAAACACACTGAGAACTGTAGCATTGCAGGTCGTATGAGGTAAAAAAAAAAAACAAAACAAAACAAAACAAAAAAACACAGTTCTAATCTGAGCTGGGACACTTAGAGAGTTCAAACGCTCCCTTGAGATCAGCAGGACCTGCCCAGACTACATACCCGTGACACACGCCTGTAACCCACTCATGTTCTGCCACCTGCTGGTGAGAATATGCAATTGCAGCCTAGGCAAGCTCTCAGGCCCTCGGCACGGTGCCCGGGGGTGCTGTGGATGCACAGTTTAAAGAGAATTTGTGTGCTCTCCCACGTTCTTCTGAGCCTTGATCTGTAATCTCACTGTGAAGATCCTCAGCTGTGTGCAAGGGGCACATTTCTCTTAGACACTCCCTTTGGCTCCCCCACGTACCATTCATTCGGACAGACCTGGAAAGCAGTTGATACAGGGACTTTGGGGTACCAGCACAAGGATCACAGTTTAAGAGGACACCATTAAACAATCCCCTTGGCCCTGTGAAATCCAGGCCTTTGGGGTTGTGGCTTAGGATGACTGATTCATCTGGCTTTCCTGAGACTGTCCTTGCTTGTTTGGTTTGGTTTGAGTTTTTCGAGACAGGGTTTCTCTGTGTAGCTCTGAGTGTCCTGGAACTCACTCCACAGACCAGGCTGGCCTCAAACTCAGAGATCCCCCTGCCTCTGCCTCCATAGTGCTGGGATTAAAGTTATGTATCACCAGGCCAGGTCAATTGTCCTAGTTATAGGACTAAGAAGCTTATGTCAACATCTGGGACGGTCTCAAGCAAACTAGATGAGTTTGCTGGTGTCCGCTGTGAGCAGAGGAGGGGGGAATGACGACAGCACACAGACACCGCCACCTTGTCACACCAGCCCTGCTGGGCTGAAGGTGAGTGGTGTGGGCACATAGAATTTCCCTGGAGTCCATGGGGCCTCTCACTGGCCCCCTGCTGTCCGGCAGGCACAAGGCTCCTCCCAGACAGCAGTCTCGCTAGATTACATGTGTAGTCTGGAGACCTTTCCTCCCCTTAGCTCATCATCGCATGGCTCACTGGGGACTCTGAAGCTTAGGGATTGTCTTCAAAGTCATGCAGAAGGAAAAGAACACGGGTAGGGAGGGCCTCTTCTAGACAACCCTTCTCATTGTCCAAGGGACGCTGAGGCCCTAACAGAAGATGAACCTTGATTTGAAGGCCCCTCAGAGAGACTTGAGTTCTTGACTGCTGTGACAATCCATACTCACCCCTAATTCTTGTAAAGGGTACCCCAAAGTGCCTGAAAGGAAGCAGAATCCATCCTTGGTCCTAAGGGTGCAAACATGTGGTCCAGACAATCGCATACCGATTGGCTCAGCACTGAGCATATGAACCGAGTTATTCTGACCTACTTGAAGACGGACCAGGGCAACACGGGAGAATTGGAACAAAAACATCCCCTAGAGTTCTGTGCCTTGACCAATTCAAGAAGACATGGAGCCACATAAATTTGTAGCTATTTATTGCACTGAAAACACCAAGAATAAAACAGACACCTCTTCTCCCCTCCCCCCACCCCCACCCTCACCCCCAGTAGCAGAAAGTTTGAGCAGTGGTCATTCAAGTTCACAGCCACATAGTTAAAAAAGAAAGAGAGAACCGAAACAAAACCCCAAACAGATAGTAACAAAGAAACCAGCATGGGAGCCTAGCAAACATACTCCCCCGAGCCCTTTGAAGGGGGCCAGGAAGCCATGGGGCAGGATTTGAGCTATGGCGCATAAGGCTGGAGATGCTTTTCCTATAAACCTGATGAGAGGCTGAGTTTTGATTTGGCCTTCCTTCCTTCCTTCCTTTCCTTTCCTTTTCCTTCCTTCCTTTCCTTCCTTCCTTCCTTCCCTTCCTTTCTTCTTCCTTCCTTCCTTCCTTCCTTCCTTTTTTCATCTAGAGGGTATTTGGGAGGATCATGGAGCTTGTCTGGTGAGAGTGGGCTCTGGGCAGTTTTTTTCTGCCAGTTCTCCTGCCACCTTGGGGTCACTGTAGTGTCCCAAGGTCTATACTAGTTGGCTGCCCACCCACAGGAGCAGCCTCCGCAGAGCGGGCCATCTCAGACTGGGGTAGGGATCTGCCTCCATTCTTCCACATGTGGAGAGGCACAGTGGGCATGGGGCATGTTAGCCAACAGAAGGCAGGGCATAGGTGTCTTCTGGTTGGGGAAACCGAGGCCCCACGAGGGGCAAGGGCTCACCCAAAGCAGGTCTAATCAGAGCCTGGAATAAAAGACACCAAAGTCCCCAAGCACTTCTTTTCCCTGCAGTCCATTGCTGGCAAGCAACAGACAGGCACCAAAGAGGAAAATGAGGGGCAGGCAGGGAGAAGGATAGGGACTGGCCAGGCTTGGCACATAAGAAGGCCAGCCAGTGACAAACCCAACAGGTTCTCAGAAGTGGGGTGGCGTAGACATGTCACTATTTGTTTGACCCTCCATCATTCTGGGTAGGAACACTGATAGAGAAACTGAGGCTTGAATAAGGGATTTGATCTTGATTGGTAATTACAGCATCCCCTGGTAAAGGCCACACCCTCCTTTACCTTTGCCTGAGGATGGCTAGGAACAATGGGTTCACTGGGCCTTATAAGGAAGCCTGGTTCTGGGGCAGGGCCAGGGCCCATCCTTGGGCCTAGGCAGTAGTGTCTCCACCAAGGGTAGAGGACTACCATGGGGTGGCTTACACAATAGAGCCACTCTCCTGCCCTGTACTTGTCCCTGGGCAGCAGGACTTGAGAGAAGAGCCCAGCACATAGCTCATTACACGGGGGAAGGGGGAACACCAGAAAGTTCTGGATTAAACATCCCTTCCACTTTTGCTCCAACCAACCCTCAGAGAAGCCGAGAGAATCAGTGTCATCTCCAAACCCCTGGGCACATGGCTCTTCCTCCCCTAGGATCCTCCAGAGGGCACAGTGTCTCATGCTGGCAAAACACAGCCACACAGAGACCAAAAGCACAGAGAGGCAGCAACGTAATCCCAAGTTGGACACTGAGAATACAACCTCGAATGTTATTAGTATTATTATTTTGTCCAAAACATGTCGTTTGATTTTTGCTGAGTGTTTTCTTTTTTTTGTTTTTTTTTTCAACATACTTACTGCATATAAAGTCATGCAAAGAAAACAGTGCAGACAGGCGATCCCCGTGGATGAGACACAGCATTCCAGATCAGAGCCAAGAAGAGGGAGAGAGAGGAAGAGAAAGAGAAAGGGAGGGAGAGAGAAAAAAGAGGGAGGGTACGGTAGGGGAGGGCAGGCAGGCAAGCGCACTACAGCGCTTGCCAGCCCAAGTTCAGCATGAAGTAGGAAACTAAGTTTCTGGTGCTCTGTTTTGTCCAAGTTAAGAGAAGCAATGAGGATACGTGCTCAGGAGGTAGTGGGGGGTGGGATAGGGAGGTGGCACAAAGATCTAGGGAAAGAAGTCTTGGGAAGTCCAGTAGTGAGGACTCTAGTCACAGAGATGTCAAATCTGGAGCTTCTCATCCTGGTGGCCTCCCCGGCCCTGACTTACTCATTGTATATTAGTCATGCTGGCCCTGGAAGAAATCCTGTCAGCTGACCGTGGGGACCAGAATGGAAGGCAGCTGTGCTCCCTGGGGGGTGAGGGCACCTCAGAAAGGACCCCCCCCAAAAAAAAAAACCTGGAACGGAGTGAAAAATTCCCCTCACCCCTCTTCCCACTTCCCGACCCGATCCAACTCTTCTTTTTTTTTTTTTTTTTTTTTTTTTTTTTTTTTTTGAAGTCTAGTTACACATACATATCCGTTAACGCAAAATCCAGTTACGAAATACACAGAAGTTTGGCTGTAAAAAGGCATGCGTCCAAGTAGAAGATGATACCTAAGTGTTGTTTGCTTTGCCCCTGAAACACCATCCGATCTCCTCTCAGACGGAAGAGGCTGGAATTCTCCATGGACGTTGGAGGGCAGATTGGGCAGGTTAACACTGGAGGCAAACTTTGCAGAAGGACTGAGGCAGCGAGTGGGGTGCCTGAAGGGTAGAGCCCACCCCCTTCCCCATAGTGGACGGTCTGATGAGCACAGGGCCAGCATAGGAGGGAAGCAGATGAGAGCGGCAGTTGAAGGCAGGAGCTCCTGGCAGTGGCTCCTCTCTTACTCTCTCCCAGAAACAGTTGGCTTGGAGATTGAGGGGGCTCATCTCTGCTTCCCTGGGGACCCCAGAAGAGGAGAGATCGAAGAGGGGGATCCGTGTCACACTTGCCCTCCTCTTCCTGGCTTCCTGGTAAACACAGCTGGGGCTTCCTCACCTACAGTCAAAGCTAGGCCAGGCCAACAACAGTAGTTGGGGAGTGGGGGTTCCTGGGGCCCGCATCCTGGGTACCGAAGCCTGAAGAAGGTCCCCACTGGCAAGAAGAGGGTGTGGGTGAGAGCTTTGATGTTGCCATGGCTTTTTTCATGATGCCAGTACAGAGGTGACAATGGCAGCGGGGGGGGGGGCGCTGTGACAGGGAGAATTCCAACAAAATCCAAGAGAGAGCCAGCAGCCACATTCCACGGACAAAGAGTGGATCTCTGCGGTGCGACAACGCAGGGACCCCGGCCCGGTCCTTCAACTGTAAGACACAGTAAGTCCACCACCTTAGACACGGTCACCTCTCCCTTCTAGGTTTTCCACCCACCTTCCCTCCGCATCTGTAGACCCAGAATCTCCTTGCAGGAGTCTTCTCACCCTCTCTGTAGATATTCAGAGATAGAAGGCAGCAGCTGCTCCCCTGGGCATGCCCCACTGCCCCCCCACCTTCCCCCTCCAGGTCAACACCCTTAATATCCCCTTAGAGGTTTAGGAAGAAAGGATTCTTACTGGGGCAGGACGGAGGGTGCCCCCGATCTGTGGAAGTGGACAATCTGCCATTTGCCATCCCTGCGGTGCCAGACACGGGTCTCCTCTGACTGGGCTGTGCGGGGGATGCCACCCGCATCCAGGTACTGCGTGATGCGGATGTAGGCGATGCACGCTGACTCGTCGCCCATCAGGTGGATGTGGGGGTTCAGGATGGTGGTGTGCACGGGTTTGCTGTTCCGGGACCACACTGGAGGCAGGGACGGGAGGGGCTGAGGCGATGCAACCCAGGGGTTCCTGCCTCATTCTTCATCCTGCCTCATCCTGCTCTCAGCTTCCAACTTCCCTTTCCAGGGAGACTCCTTTGCCTGACTCGTGCACAGTAGGGGAATCTCTGGGACAGGGATCAGCTACCTGAGAGTCAAGGCAGAACTGCCACGTAACCTAGGTAACAGGATACCACCTCCCAGATAGGGTACAATGAACTTCAGACTTGCCAAATTGCTCAAACATGGGAGAAGTGGGATTTTAGAATTAGCATCTTGTACACACGAAAGCATGAATCCCAGACAGGATTACTTACTGAGCCAGGTAAGGTTTTTTTTTTTTTTTTTTTTTTTTTTTTTCTTCAACACAGATTCATACTGGGACCAGGCCAGCACTTAAATGGTAGAGGCTGAGCTGGGTATAAGATGATGGATAGCAACTGAGCTTCTATCTCTGGGTCAGGGAGACAGTAGAGAGTAAGGGGGACGGTGGTGGATAGAACACCTTGTCCCATCTTGAGGGCACCCTGCCTATATATATATATATGTCCTCTGGGTACCGTGGGCATCACACCTTATTGCTCCTCAAGGGAGTCTGGAAATCTGTCTGGATTTTCATATGGAAAGTCTTCACCTTTCACCGCTGTTCTATTATTCAAATGTAACACTGTCTGTAAACCGTATGAAATGTCTGTAATCTAGACATGCCCCACCCTGCTTATCAACTCTATTGTGATCTATTGAATTATAGAAACAGGGGGAAAGGAACTGTAGAATCTTCCGACCTTCAATTTCAGGGGGCTAGGGGGACACAGGAAGATCTCATTGTCATGACAACTAACCAGAGTGCCTAGGAACGGTTCCCACCTCCAGTTTCAACATCACCAGATTGTTCTAGAAACTCTCAAGTTGTTTATCAAGATATGAAACAGAAGCACAGAAAGACAGTGGCCCAGGGACAGACAGAGGCCTTCAGGTTCTCACTCCGACAAGAACCCTTGTATCCTCCCCTAGTGGGGCGCAAATAGTGGTCACAACCGTGTCAACAGCTAGCCTCAAATGTGAAGTCTCCAATGCCACCCAAGACGCCCCCGTGTGAGACCCTGTAACACCATAATTTCCTCTCCATCCCTTACTCTAATTCCATTACCCAACAAAATGTGTAAACTGATATCCCCTGAAACATGTAAAATGGCTTTTTTTTTAGTCTGAAAAGAGCACCTGATGGTCCCTCCCTTTAGTGCTATAATCATTGCGTGCTCAAGCCTTCAATAAGTAAGTCTCAGAGAAGCAGAATAACAGATTCACAAGCTCTCAGACACAGAAAATGTAAAGCTTTAGAATAACCTTAGCACAGTGGTTCTCAAACCTGTGGGTCATGACCCCTTTGCGTCAGCTGACCCTTTCACAGGGGTCGCCTAAGACCATCAGAAAACACAGATATTTACATGATGATTTATAACAAGTAGCAAAATTATAGTTATGAAGTAGCAACAAAAATAATTTTTTGGCCGAGGGTCACCACAACATGGGGAACTGTATTAAAGGGTCGCAGCATTAGGAAGGCTGAGAACCACCACCTTAGAGGCTAACGATCACCAAGTTTCTCTTTTCCAAAGTGCATGAGACTTCCCTGAATGTGTGTGAATATCATATATGAGGCTGGAAGCAATGTGTCCATTAATATGTATGGAAAATGAATCCAAAACCATTATCTGACTTGGTCAAAGTTGTTAATTCCTGGGGGGGGGGGGGTATGAAGAAATCAAGCTCACAGTGCCTGGATTAGGACAATCCAGGTCCATTCCAGAAGGGACAAACAGCTTAGCATTGGTAGTGGTGGGGGACAAGCTTTGCCGCTGTTGATTGTGGCTGAGATCCCAGGGACTCTAACGTGACACGGTGTTACTTGACCAGGTTAGTGTTTTCCAGGTTACCCTTTTTCTCGACAAGGTGGTAGATAGAGCCAGGTGCTGGTCAGGAAAGGGCAGGCAGTGGGAGAAAGCTCTGCAGGGGTGAGAGGCTGTACTGAGTCACACCCCTGTGAGTCCTCCTTAGAGGTAACCAGAGGGTTAAGCATAGGGTCTAGGAGTCAGTGCTGAGGTAGCATCTGCCGCATGAGCAGACCAGAAACATGGACTTCTTTCTGCATTTGGACTCCTTAGTGGTGGTCCCCACACCTGCACCTGCGCAGTTGAACCTTAGCCTGGTCTCTGCCCAGCTCTGGCAAGACGAGCGGAACGCAGCTGGGAAACAGCGCCCCCAGAGGACAGAGGTATAATGACAGCCAAGGCAATCCTTAAATGTGGGGACTGTGCACAGGATGAGAGAGCCCAAGATCCAGCTTCTCTTACTAGAATTCAGTCTCCCATCATTCAGCGTGGAGGATCCTGTCTGATTCTTTAAGGAAATTTAGCTTCTTCCTTTGCTTTTTTTTAAAGGAGGGAATACTTGGAACCTCAGTACTCGCTAAAATACAAGCAGAGGGGTGCAAACTCGGAGGTGGGGAGGCCTGCTGCTTTGCTAACAGAAAGGACCCTATCAGCAGAAGAAAGGCGCCAGATTGAGACAGAGCTAAATCTGCAGCTGGCTTTGTGCACTCTTTGGGGCGAGTGGCTTCCGCTCTCTTGGCCGCAGTGGAAATGCCTTTCTGAATGACAGAATTGGGCTTCACCTTGAGTGGCCGCAGAACCACGTGCACTGAGTTTGTTAAACCATATGTGAGCACCATCTGTCCTTATTTCATAAAATGATTTTCCTGGTTAGCTTCATGATATGTTTACTGTATTTATTTTTAAGATTTTATTTTTAATGTGTCTGTGCGCTTGATGAGGGCAGGTAGGGGCGGGGGAGGGGGGTGAGTTATATACAAGGAGCACAATGGCCTGCAGAAGCCAGAAGAGAGCACTGGATCTTCTGGAGCTAGAACTCCAGGCAGTTATGACAGGGCAATGGGTGCTGGGACCTGAACCCAGGTCCTCTGCAAGAATCGGGACACACTCCTAGCCTCTGAGCCATCTCTCCAGCCCTAATGTGAATATTGTAAATAAGACTTCCCAGCACCAGCACCTTCATTAGTGGACGATCAGCCACACTGAGCATGCAGGGAGCAGAAAGTCTGGTGAGGAGAATATAGTTAGACCATTCCTGCCCCACATTCTTGCCTGCAAGGCATCTGAACCCTTGCTGCCCTTTGAAAAAAGAGGGAACTGGGAACTGTGAGAGAGGTGTGAGCTGAGTCCTCCTGTGCATGAGAATTCATGAGAATTAGTCAGGAAGGGCTTTCTTGCCGTTCGAGTCAATGCAATTCCAGGTGCCTAGAAATACCAGAAAGTCTGTGTGTGGTTTGTACCTGTCATTTGGGGCTAAGATCACTATACTACCCCTGAGATCCATCCTCCATATCCTAACCTTGGCTTGGTCCCTGTCTGACCCCGGCCTGGGTAAGACACAAACAAGCGGGAAGCTCATTGGCTCAGGCCCAGGCTCGGCACCCTGCCCACCCTCGTTGCAAGCTTCTGAGACCTCTCCTGCAGAGGAGAGGCCCAGGAAGGACAGACACGCAGGACAGAGACCTGGACACACAGGCAGGGCACAGCAGTGTGAAATCCCTGGTCCTCCCTACCTATGAGGTCATATGGGTCACACCCCAGGAGCTGCTGTGTCACCCGCTGGACAGCTGGGGTGGCCCCAAGCCTCCAGATGACTGTAGCTAGCGGTGTGAGTTAGTGAAGGGTCCCTGCTTATCAGAAAGAACAAAGACCTGCCACGAACTCTCCCAGGCTAGAAGGCAGGAGGGGGCTAGGGAGGCTTATCGTATACGTCCTTTGTCTTTAGGGACCCACCCCGGCCTCACCCCATCCTCAGCCACAGGAAGGACAGCTGGCAGTCCAGCTCAGTGGGCAATCAATGGGGAGGGAACCAAGAAAGTACCAACCCCTGTCCACAGGGACTCTTCCTCTTCACTGGCTCCTGAGCCGCCCCTGAGGCCCTGCCCGTCACCCTGCTGTGCCGTCAGCAGGACATGGAAGGAGAGCAGACAACAGGCACCCCAGAGAGAAGGGATTGCTCACGGTTTTCAAAATAGAATCGATGAAAGTCCAGGCCCTCGACCAGGTTCCCCAGGGCCTCAGGTTCAAAGGCTGTCATTCCGGGATCACACATTTTCCTGGGGAAAGGAAACCAGAGGAAAGAGGGGCCTGAGAAGACCACTTCTCATCGCCCCCCTGAAGGGCAGCAGCTGAATGGGAATGGACACGCCTTCCTTGAGGGCTCAGCAAAGGAGGAGTTCACACAATGTGGAGTGTGGGCAGAACTGGAGGGTGCTGGCTACATCCAGGGAGCCCAAGTTCAGGTTCTGGTTCTGCCACTTACTGGTGAGAAGGTCCCCAGAAAGAGTGCCAGGGGGGTGAGGTGGTCATGCTGTACAGCCTGCTCCTTATTCTTCACACTGTACCCCAGTCCCGGCAGTGACCCAAAGGGGCTTTTCTCTTGAGTTGTAGGAGTGAGGTGCCTTTCCCTTTGCATAAAGTGACCTCAGCTCCCCAAGACAGGTGTGTATATGGAGGATGTGCATTTTAACAATTTGGACAAAATTACCCTATGTCTGGAACACCCTGACTGTTTCCTCGGCTGTAAATGGGGGAAAGGAGCCTTAATGAAGGAGATGCCCATGAGGCTGGAGAGATGGCTCAGCAGTTAAGAGCGTTGCATGTTCTTCCAGAGGGCCTGGGTTCGATGGTGGCTCACAACCATCTGAAACTCCAGGCCTTCTTCTGGCCTCTATAGGTACCAGGTACATAGACATTCATGCAGGCAAAATGCCCGTATACATAAAATAATAAATTTTTAAGAAAGTGATGTCAAAGAGGAAGCAGAGGATGTGGCAGGGGTGGCCCTCAGCATAAGGAAGCTGTGTGTTTTCAGCTGATTGGCCCTTCCAGGTGTCAGTCTTCCTGAGTGACTGCTAGGCAGGGGAGTCATTTACATACCTGGAGGGTCTTTTCAAGTACAACATAGACCCCTATGACCATAGCAAAGAAACCAGGGACAGGAAATGCCCCCACTCAAGCTAAGCTTCTGGTCCACAGGAGAACTGGAAATCTCAGAAGAGGACATCAGGCCAGGCCTTGCCTGCGATGAACAAAGCCTTTGAGGTTCCCTCAAGTCTACCCCTGCTGCAGAACTTGGTCGTCTGGACTCTCTGCATCCGTCAAGGACTTGAAGGCTCTCTGCTCTAAGTGCATCATACAAATGTAGAAACTGGGGGCTGGAGAGATGGCTCAGAGGTTAAGAGCACCGACTGCTCTTCCAGAGGTCCTGAGTTCAATTCCCAGCAACCACATGGTGGCTCACAACCATCTGTAATGAGATCTGGTGCCCTCTTCTGGCATGCAGGCATACATGGAGGCCGAACACTGTGTACATAATAAATAAATAAATCTTTAAAAAACAAATGTAGAAACTGAGGCTCAGGGAGATGAAGGGGCTAGTTCAGGAGCGTGTCAGGGAGGCTCCAAGGCCATGGTAAGTTTCAGAGTCTTGCGCAGGATGAAAATGCCATCATCGCCTGTAACATTCTAGAGGGACCCCCCCAGAAAGGTCACCTCACTAGCTCTTTATTCCCTGGCTGTGGTTTTTCAGAGTCACCAACCTGGTGTGCCCTGACTTAACTTCTTTAGGGCTACCCAGAAAGACTGGCGACAGAGTCTGCTTCCATGCCTTGCTGTAGCATCCTGCTATACTCTGGCACACACCCCTGTGCACATTCCTTGAACATAGACTTATAGCTTGTGCACATACAGGTGCGTGTGCAAGCCTACGTATAGTATGTGAGGCCCCTGGGCTTTCACAGATGCCTCTTGAGTACCTTGCCCCTCCAGAGAGAGCCAGGGACTTTCCAATGACTAAATTCAGTTCCCACGGTTAAAATGCAGCTTCAGGTGGCCTGAGATCACACCAGCCATGCTCACATTAACACCACCTCACATTAACCCCACAGGCAAGGGTCACTCTGTCTTGGCTGGAAGTTTTCGCACACCAAAAAGCAGGTATTGGATTGCCAGGTCCAGGCCCCATCAGCCTTGGTCAAAATGCCAACGCCTAGACACCCAGAACCTTCCAATTTCTCTGGGTCAGGCAGAGAGAGAAGCAAATGGGCAATGACCACTAGGGGGTGCTGAATCCCAGTTTATGCATACAGTCACCTGGCTAAGGGCTGGAGCGGGTGTGTGAACAGAGAATGTTCAGTTTAAGACTGTGCCTTATGCCCAAAGGGTTTAGGGTTCACTTGGCTCACTCTTGCTCACGAATGGTGCACACCCTTTGGGTCCCTGCCTGTTCCTGCTCAGCTGAAGACCTCTGGAGAGCCAGGAAAAGGACTCAGACCCACTGGGCAGGCTGGAGAAGGGCCTGCCTCCATTCCCTCCTTCCCATACTAAGGCACAGATCGCCCTTCTTTTTTTTGGGTGCGGGGAACAAAGCAGTTTTACTGGAGCGCCTCCCTGGATGAGGCTGGCAGGAAGAGGAACGTGTAGTGTCATGAGCACCCGGCTGAGGGGGACTGCATTCTTATTCACAGCACATGCAGAGAGTGAGTAAGCTCAGTCACCCCTGGTTAGCACCCCTGAACCCGATCCAGGCAGAACATGCAGAAAGAGCCTGGCTGACTCACGTGTAGGACTCAAAATCTCCATTGCTTATGGCTTCAATCAGCTGTTCTGTCACTTTTATAATTTCCTGCTTGCGCACTGTAAGGTAGAGGGGGCACACAAATAACAACAGTGATAGTCATGAAGGACCGAGCACCAGCTTCCGAGTCCCCAACACGTGCCAGGTGGGCTCTGTAGCGACCTGACACTGTACACAGACGAGCTCACCCATCCTTTTGCTGTCCCTGGGAGAGAGAGGTGGTTAGCTCCATTTCCCACAAGAGATTGAGGCTCAAAGCAGTGTGTGGGGGAAATGTAGTTCCCTGAGCTACAAAAGACAGAGGCATTGCCTCAGCTGGCAACCTTGACCTCCAAACACCACAGTGGGGGACGTTCAGACTTGTTCAGGTCTTGTTTGAAGCTAGGTTTTGACTACAAAATAGCCATCTTGATTTGCTGTGTGAATCCAAACAGTGTTACATGTTGCTTGTCAATTGTTACAAACCAGGGCTCCCCCACAGGCAAACATGGGGACACAAAGGAAAGTCTTGGAAGTAACACATCTCTTACTGTCTGGGTAGTTTTTGCTCAATTTGAGTGACTATAAGATTCAGGCAGAGTTGTCTAGAAGCTTCTAGAATCAACCACTTTCCCCCGTCTGATGCAGAACACCAAAAAGCTACTTTTCTGGTGGAGTGTTAAATGCCAGTCCCCTTGTTAGACAGGCAATGGCCTGGCCCTCAGCATTCCCACCCATGGAATAAGATTCACTCAGAGTTAGACGGCAGCGCCAAGAACTCAGGTCTCAATTCCAGACAGATCTTCATCCTAAAACCACCTCGGAGCCTTACGCTCTGTGGCGGCTGAGGACCACAAGACTGACTGGCTGGTCAGATGGAGACAAAAGTGTCCTCCTCCCAGAGCTGGTCTGAGGGTGGGACGATGAGGTGAGCATGAAGCAGTGTCTCCAAGCCCTACCCATAGCAAGTGTTCATGGTAAGCATAGCCTTTGCCTGCAGCCCACACTTCAGCTTGACTGTTCCTCCCAGACCCCTGGCAGGTAGGCCACAAGGAGGTGACTGACCCTCAATAAACAAGGAATCGGCAGTGTCCTGGTTCCCAGTGGAGCTGAACAGACACTGCCTTAGTCTAGGGCAGGCCCTCTTTCCCTCCTCCCTTCAGATGCTGTTCTCCCCCAAACCTGGCCACTCCATGGTAGGACGGAAGTCACACTGTCCAAAAAGTGGGCCCAGCAGCTCTCAGCACCTCCCAACCTCAGAACCAAGTCTGGGTGAATCTCTGACTCGCCCTTTTTCTTGTCAGCTGCCTATGCTGCCTCAGGCGCTCATCTCAGACCCAGGGGAGATAGACTCTTAGGGCATCCAGGCTTGGGAACTACTGCAGGCCAGAAATCCAAACTCCTTTCTGGGCTACCGAGGAAACCGAGGCCCAGTGAGGGTCAACAACTTGCCCAAGGACATGGAACATAGGGTACAGTCTGGCTGACAGCCCAGAACCTTTTCTACAGGACCCTAGGACTTCAGCCCACATGATCGCACCCCATGTTCTCATAACACTAACCCCACACGGCTGCTTGGCACTCACTACCTAGCTCTACATTCGGTGCCAGCTAAAGGAGGTGGGGCTCGGGCTTCCTTGAAATCTGAAGCTAGCATGACCTTACGGGCTACCGTACGGACTAAGCACATGGGTGAGTGGGCACTGTCGTCATCAGGGACTTAGCCTGCGGAGTTTCAGAGCTTCATACCCATGCCACAACTGAACTCTGCCCACATCTACACCCGGCGTAGCCTTTGGCATGCAGTGTGTTCTTGGCAGAGGAAACAGTGTTCCAGCAATACAGCCACCACGTTGCCCTCAGCCAGCTTGCTCTGACTCTGGTTAGAAACTCCCGGGCTGGGAACATCTAACAGATCCTGAGTGTCATCTGTCATGAGGGTTTTTCTCCTCTTTTCAGGGAGCCACCAGGGCAGAAGTTGTGTCCAGCACACATATGTAGAGTGAATGAATGAATAAATGAGCAGATGGCTCCAAACCAGAGTCTGCCCTGTCTCTGGAATTGCCCAGGTTATCTGTACATCTGTGTATAGGGGTTTCAGAACCTGGGCTCCTGGTCAGCCATTCCAACCTTTGTAAAAGCAGAGACAGGTCATGGGACAAGCGGGCTTTGCCAGCAGGGACTGCACCCCACCACCACCACGGGATCAGAGGGGAGGGTGCAAAACAAACCCACATGCTCCTGACAGGTTGTGAAAGATGGGCTTTGGGGTCAAACTCTCTAGGCTTGGACTGCGGTTCTGTTGCCTCATAGCTGCAACCTTGGATGAGTTTCTCCATAAGAATAATGGAGATATCATAGTACCCACATTTTAGGGTTATTCTGAGGCTCGATAGAAAGAGTCATCACATGCAACCCTACCCGGGAGCACCTGTGCTCCGAGCACCCAAGATCAATGCATCACTTGAGTGATAGTGTCTGTACCCAAGCATTTAGAGAGCAAGGCCTGGCACTCACTGAGAGACAGCTGCCAACCTTCATCTGCACACTAGGGAACAGAAGCTTGGCCAAGCCCTACCTTGAGGCTCCCAATGGGCTGTGAGCTTCCTGGAAGTTTGAGTCATGGGACACAATCCTGCTGGAGTTAGAGGCTGCAGTAGCCACCAGTCTGATGACTATGTGTACCTCATGGATTTGGGTTCAGACTTCCAGGCTGAAGTCGGCCTCTGAAAACTCCTATGTATAGGAACTCTGCCCCCAAGTAAACACCCGTTCCCTAGTCTCTGTCCTTCCCTGGCCAGGTTTCTCTTCTCAGGAATGTGGTTTCCAGATCCACCGCAAGTTTGCATCTGTCCTCCAAGCTCCCGAAACTGTCTGAACATGTCTTGGTGTGACACGCACTCTCAGATGGTACATTATCAGGTCTGGAGACAAACTGAACATTGCACCTCTATGCATTCGGTGCTAGGTGGGCCTGTCTTGGCTATGCCTTCAGGCACCAGGACACCAAGCTTTCTAAAAGTCAAAGCTACCAGCTCTAGCTTTGTTCTCTGGGGCAGAAGACCGGACTGGAGGCTGGTGCCTGTGGACCTGAAGGGCACTCTGACGGGGGCCCTTCCCGGGACTCCAGCAACCCCGACTGCTTTGCAAGCCGCTTTCTAGATGTTGGCTAGTCTCCTCACCCAGATGTTCTATAATATTCCTCTACAGACAAGAAAACTGAGGCCCCAGAGATATTAAGAAAACCTCTTGGTCAGGTGGTGGTGGCACACACCTTTAATCCCAGTACTCAGGAGGCAGAGGCAAGTGAATCTCTGTGAGTTTCAGGCCAGCTTGGTCTACAGAGCAAGTTCCAGGACAGTCAAGGCTACACAGAGAAACTCTATCTCAAAAAACAAAATGAAACAAAAACAAAGAAACTCTCTTAAGCTCACACAACACACTGATGTGTGTTGGGGCCTGCATTCCTAACTAGTACTTCCTAATCTCTACCCAGCTTCTGGCAGATGCTCTTTAACCTGGAGAGAGGATGGGTTGCACGCAGAGGCAAGGGCATGGGGTAAAGCCTAGTAGAGTCTGGTACGGCTCATAGATCAGGGGCTCTTCTAAAGCTCTGAACAGTTCTTGTCCCTTCTTCCCTCCAGGGATGTCGTTCTGACAAACAGCATTTCCAATTAACTGTAACCCTGGGTCAGAGTTTACCAGACTGACTACTATTCTCACTTGGTAAGAAGACTTTACAGGCTAACTCCAGAAAACAGCATCCCACTCTGGGAGCTCCCTCTGTGCCAGCGGGGCTGGCGGCTGTAGGCTGGGTTTAAGGGCTTTGCTCTGCTCTTACAGGGGCACGTTTTTCAAAACACTGTGTCACTGGGCCTTTTGTGCACGAGGAGGAAAGGCTGGGGCAGGGAACAAGGTCCCCAAATCGTCAGCTAGTAACCATGATGGCTAATCTTGATCGTCAAATGAACAGACAGGATTTAGAATTACCACAGAAGCACACCCTTGAGTGTGTCCCTGAAGACATTTCCACAAAGGGTTGCCTGAAGAGGGCAGGTTCACCCTGAATGCGGGCGGCATCTTCCCATGACTGGATGACCGAGAGGAAAAGGTGAGCCAAGCATGGGTATCTACCTCTGTTTCCCGACTGCAAATAAAGCATCTCCAGCTGCCTTATGCTCCCACGGCCATGGCTGCCTACCACAATGGTCGGTACCCTCAAACTATGAGCCAATATAAACCCTTCCTTAAATTGCTTTTGACAGACTACTCGCCACAGCAACAGGAAGAACTGCTAACACCATAACCCACGTGGGCCTTCCCTTTCTCTGTATAAAGGGAAAGAAGTAAATTAAAATCCGAGACAAATTGTTCCCCGGATCCCTGAAAGCGGAGGAGGTTGTTGGCAAAAGCGAGGCCTCGCGGCACAGCCCAGAACCACCATCCAGGTGGAATATATCACTGACAGCCCCTATTTTTCATCACCAGTGCATACACATTTTGTATTCTATTCCAAATAGTCTGTCTGTTTAACATATAAATATTTGTCTTAAAATAGTCTTTGAATCAAATTGACACTCCAAGAAAATGTCATGGGGCTTACTGTCACTCAACCATGAACTCCAGTTTGGAAAAAAAGAAAAAGAAATGAAGATGTCTTCCAATAACCACCACATGTCAAATGCTGCATGGGGACTGTATACACAGCTGCCATTTCACCTGTACAGGAATACCAGAAGATGGTGCTAAAGGACACTGAGACTCAGAGAGTTTGAGTAAGTTGTCAAAGGTCACTCAGCCGATGGATTAAGGAACGAAATCACCTCCATGCTCTCTATCTGCCCTGAGGCCAGGAATAGAATCGAGTCACCTCAGAATCTCAGAAGCCATCTCTTCACTCTGGGGCCGAGAGTCTCCCATATGGTAAACATCTAAGAAGCAACTCAGTCCACCAGAGACCTGTGACCTGAGGTAGGGCTGGGCATGTGCTAAGGACAGACTCACGCAGCCGACTAAGAGGATGCTAGCCTGCAGTTCTCTAAGAGAATGCATTGGTGAGGCTGTCCATAGATCCACGAAAGAGCACCAATTTACCAGCACTAGGCTGCATCCCCCATCAATTTGGGAATGGCCAGGAAGGACATCAGCAGACAGACTTTCTTCCAGGTGCCTGCAGGATCGGAAGGAGGTCATCCTGTGTGGAAACTGCCTGCAAGCCTTCATTGCACCCCACATCCCATTATGACATTATAAAATGCTTGTCATATAAACACAATCTTTTTTTTTTCCAGTTAGGGATCAAACCCAGGACTCCTACATGTTAGGCAAATGCTATCACCAAGCCATAACTCTTGCCCTACTATATATTATTTTACAGTAAAATATCTAACCCCCCCCCAAAAAAAATGTCTCAACTAGTACCGTTGAGATTCCTCCAGACCAGTAATCTTTTTTTATATTTCAGCAACCCCTTCCCAGAAGGGCATCTCTGGCCCCTTCCCCAGCATGCAGATGCTGAGGGCTCTCGTTTCCCTGGCCTGGGAAATGTAAGGGTGCCGGTGCAGGTGGAACCGTGGGGCTTTGCTAACTGTCAAGGATCTGTGTTTCCCAGGCAGAATCGGCACACATGTCCTTCCCAGAACACTTTCCCGAGGCCTCCAGTACACTGTCTGCTCGCCAGGGTCCAGGTGCAGACTGCCTGGGTTCTGATCCCGACCCCACCTTGAGCCAGTTTCCCCAAATTCTCTATCCTGTATTCTTGCCTAGAGAAGAGGACTCATGGAAGGGTAAATGTGAGGCTACAGAAAACCTCAGGTCAACAGTTTTCAACCTGTGGGCCTTGACCCTCTTACGGGTCATATATTAGATATCTTGCATATCAGATATTTACCTCATGATTCATAACAGCAGCAAAACTATAGTTATGAAGTAGCAGTGAAATAATTTTATGGTTGGGGGATCACCACAGCATGGGGAACTGTATTAAAGGGTCACAGCGTTAGAAAGGTTGAGAACCACGGCTCTAGGTTCTCTCTTTTCCCACTGTGAAGTAATGTTAATCTCTGCAGTGTTCTGAACAAGAGCTATGCAGTACAGTCATAAAAGTTTTTTTAAAAAACAATACAAATTTAAAAAAGTTCACGTTGGGGGCTGGAGAGATGGCTCAGTGGTTGAGAGCACTGACTGCTCTTCCAGAGGTCCTGAGTTCAGTTCCCAGAAACCACATGGTGGCTCACAGCCATCTATGATGAGACCTGGCGCCCCCTTCTGGCATGCGGGCACACATGGAAGGAATGCTGTACACATAATAAATAAATCTTAAAAAAAAAAAAAGGTCACGTTTTGGGGCTGGAGTAATGGCTCAGCAACCAAGAGAACTGTCTGAAGACCTAGGTTCAGTGCCCAGAACCCACGCAGCGGCTTACAATCGACCATAGTTCCATTTTCCGAGAGTGCAGTGACCTCTCCTGGCCTCCGAGGACACCAGACATGCACTTAGTGCACTGATCCATGTGAGCAAAATCTTCATACACATAAGATTAAAATACATGGATCTTTTAAAAGATGTCAGGTTTGAAGTAAGTTTGCGACTTTATGTTGGGCTGTGTTCAAGGTTAGCCTTGGCCACAAGTACCCTGCAGGCTGCAGGTCGGACACACCCACATATCGGTCCATGTATAGGTTTAGCAAGTGTCAATGAACCAAAGACGGCTCTTGCTATTTCTTTTCTCAAGACTCCCGCTCATGTGGGGCTCTTTGCTCCCTTTTTCATCTGATAGGTTTTGCTACGAGCCCAGGTTTCAGCATGCTGGCCCCAGCTCATGCTTTCTCTGCTGGCCGCTCAGGCACTGAGACTACAGATATACCACCCCAGCTGCTGATCTGGGGCGATCGGGGCGCTTCTGAAAACAACAGGCCCAGAGCTGCAAAACCCCTGCATCTTTAGTTTGCTGGTCTTTGGTTTTGACTTCACTTGCCCCAGTTGACTAAACTTTCTGGATTTTTATTCTCTGTTCCTTTATTCTTATTGCTCCATATTTTAAAAGTGAAGTCAGTTTAAAAAAACTAAAATAATTTATTTCTAAAGGAAAATTTATGACACCCCTGTGTATCTATGGCTTAAATGTTATTTTTTTTCCTCTGATAGGTGGTGAGATAAATCCATAAGCTAAGTACCCCCAGTGCTGGGCACTGTCTGGGGAAGTCACACCCACAATATGTCCTGGTTATAGGAAGTCAAATCCAGGCTGTGGCAGTGGAACAGTGGTGAGGGTCTGCTCAGCAGGCCAGGCCTCCCTACCTTTGGTGTCTTCATCCTCGATGGTGGTATTGGTGCTCTCGGAAGATTCCTGTCAAAGAGAAGAAGAGGGAAGCGGTGAGGAGGGCCTAGCGGCCAGTAGGGGTTGGGTTGGGTTGGTGACCTGGCTGCCTGGTGATTTGCTGAGCTCTGTGGCTTCCCAGGCTATGCGGTCCAGATGCTTAATACAAACCCTGCCAGACCCTTCAATCTGAGGGGACCCAGCTAAGCAGGTGGCTGGGGCAGGGCCCGTATGAAGCGGTAACCTGCAAGGAGATCCCTGGCCTCTCAGGAGGGCTGAGAGGGGCTTCCTGGGTCCTTTCTGCTCAGGGGGCAAAGACGGGATACAGAAGAGCAGAGAGACACCATGGGAGCCACAGAATGAGGGAGGAATACACACACTGGCAGGAAAAAGAAGAAAGAGAGAGGCAGGCCCAGTGGGAGAGAGGGTGGGCTTTTCAGAGGGGAGAAAAACCGCGCAACTGAGACAGCCATAGAACCAGAAGAAGAGGGGCATGGGCCACCATGTCACCCCTGGCACTCTTGACAGAGGCAGGGCTGTGGTTCTTCTGCTGGAGTGGCTTGCACAAGCTCAAGGAGCCTCCATGATGCCTGCTGCTTTGGCCAAACCGAGCCTCGCCCTAGCAGCAAATTGCACAAACCAAGCCTTGAGATGAGCCCTTGAGCAGAGGGGTGGGGGAAGCAAGAAGCCAAGGGCTGGACTTGGTTCAAATCCACCTTTGGACTGGAGGAAGGCCTTGGATCTGCTGATGGCCTGCTGGTCTGGGCCATGGGATTGGAGGTGTCAACAGAAACACGCAAACAACACACACACACAACACACACATATTGTCACACAATGCACACATACCACACATGCCCTGAGCACTCTCTCCCCGCCCCGGATTCCTGTGCAGCCTGCAGGAGGGAGGCAGGAGCGAGGGAGCGAGGGTCTGAGGCCCAGCATTTACCGGTGTTTGGGAGACGGCGGACACTCACCATTAACTGAACGCTGGAACTGGACTTTCTTTTCTGGAAAAACAAGGAGAAGAGATGGGACAGGAAAAGACACCGCATGAAAACAGCAGGGAGGTTAGGAAGCAGGATGGCCTCAGGGCCGTCCTCTGTGGTCCTTTCCGATCAGCAACATGTGGCCTGGCAAATTCTGGGTCCTCAAACGCCTGTACCTGTCTCTACCAATCTAACATCATTCAAGTTCAAGGTCAAGTCTGCCTTCAACTAGGGCTGTCTACTATGCCTTCGTCTGACAGGGAAGTTAGTCTTGGCTCTTAGATGCTGACTGTCTGTTTGTTTTAGGGGACAGCAGGGTGCTCAGAACTGGACATGAGCCCCAAATTCTCTATGCATTTCTATTTAAGCATACTTAACTCCAGGCAACCTGCCACTGGGGAAACTTGCCTTGTTTTTGTTCCTTCTGAAACCCAAGTCTTATTATACCAGCAAGCTCTCTGTCACTGAGCCCTGCACAGAAGCAGGTCCCCTCTAAGGACTTTGATTAAGTCTTCGTGGGACTGGTCATGCCCACTTTCAAGAATATTGTCAGGTGACCCTGGGGGCACCTTTCTGTTCATAACTTCTCATAAGTGTGTTCTTTGGCTCCTTTATGCTGATAGAGGAACTGAGGCATGACCGGAAGTCTGGATCCTGCGTCTAGTGGATCTGCCGGTTGGCCTGATCTAATCTTTGTGGACTATACCAACCCTGTGTTAGCTCTGGGGTCCAGGAAGGAGGTGGGGACAATGTGGGCTGCTTCTCCTTCACTCAGTTCTCATAGCCAGGCATTTGAAGACTTGCTTATAGAGTGATACAGGTCCTGAGTGACACTTACATCCAGAGAAGAAGCATGGGGACCCTGAGAGGGCTCTCTCAGAAGTCAATAGCTATGCTAGGGGAAACAGAGGTGCTGGGCGGGGGGACAAGGTTGCATCTGTCCAGGACCCCAGACTGGCTCCTCTTAAAGGCTCGTGCTACCTTAGATAACCTCCCTTCTGAGAGTTAGGAGCCCGTTGCCTAAGATCCCAAGAAGAAAGTAAAGGCGAGACTTAAGACCTTTCCAGGGTCAGCCTGATCTATAATAAGCACTGGATATGCTATAAGAGACTAAGGTTAGATTTGGGGCTTCCTGCTTTTATAGTCCAGTAGGCATCTGCATGCCAGGGCCTAAATGTGTGCCTTTTAACCAGAGCCTCCTTGCTGGACATTTCTATCTCGTGTATTCAAGAGGCACAAATGCCCACCTTCCTTGGTGGCTGGGGAGTGTGGCTTCATTGTAAAACTCTGCAACTGCTCCTCCTCTGCTCTGCTCTCCTCTGCTCTGCTCTCCTCTCCTCTCCTCTGCTCTCCTCTCTTCTGCTCTGCTCTCCTCTGCTCTCCTCTCTTCTGCTCTGCTCTCCTCTGCTCTCCTCTCTTCTGCTCTGCTCTCCTCTGCTCTGCTCTCCTCTCCTCTGCTCTGCTCTCCTCTCCTATGCTCTCCTATCCTCTGCTCTGCTCTCCTCTCCTCTGCTCTGCTCTCCTCTACTCTCCTCTCTTCTCCCTGCTCTCCTCTCCTCTGCTCTGCTCTCCTCTGCTCTCCTCTCTTCTCCCTGCTCTCCTCTTCTCTGCTCTGCTCTCCTCTCCTCTCCTCTGCTCTGCTCTCCTCTCCTCTGCTCTCCTATCCTCTGCTCTGCTCTCCTCTCCTCTGCTCTCCTATCCTCTGCTCTGCTCTCCTCTCCTCTGCTCTGCTCTCCTCTCCCCTGCTCTCCTCTCCTCTGCTCTCCTCTGCTCTCCCTGCTCTCCTCTCCTCTGCTCTCCTCTCCTCTGCTCTGCTCTCCTCTCCCCTGCTCTCCTCTCCTCTGCTCTCCTATCCTCTGCTCTGCTCTGCTCTCCTCTGCTCTGCTCTCCTCTCCCCTGCTCTCCTCTCCTCTGCTCTCCTCTGCTCTCCCTGCTCTCCTCTCCTCTGCTCTCCTCTGCTCTGCTCTCCTCTCCTCTCCCTGCTCTCCTCTCCTCTCCCCTGCTCTCTTCTCCCTGCTCTCCTCTCCTCTCCTCTGCTCTGCTCTGCTCTCCTCTATGCTGGCCTCCCTCCATGACTGCAGCTTGGCCAAACTGTGTGGGGAAGGGGGACAGGCCCATACAGCTCAGCTGTCAGCAGAAACCCAAGGAGACCCACATGGGCCAGAAGGTTCCAGGTGGAACATGAAGAGGAAACACAGAGCAGAGACTGCATCAGATTCGGACGTACAGTGACAGGATGGGACATGGGAAGAGGTCAACAACAGCACGGATGGGACACCAACAGGGCAGTGAGTGCAGTGAGGGGAGGGAGCAGTGGACGCCTCCTACAGAAACCGAGGCCTAAAGGAGGCCAGGGCTAGACACTGCTCCTTGAGGACAGGGATTCTGTCTCCTAGAATGACAAATGAGGGTGACCATCATCCTGCTTGACCAGCACTTGCGAGTTGCATGGAAAGGGGCTCTGTCAGCAAAGGTAGAATCGCCTCTCTTAGAACCACAAATGGAAGCTGGTTCCAAGATCAGCAAGGGATCCAGAACAGCTGTCTAGTCAGTCTCAGCCCTGAAGAGATTGTAAAGTCTCAAGAAGTTCCTGTCACTCGGGCTGAGCAGCCCTTCCCTCGGTGACAGAACAGGCCACATAGCCTCTCCATTAAGCTCCACATGGAACCGTTCATCTCTCAGCACACAACTGTAGAAAGAGCACAGATTCCCCTCCCCCTCAAGCTGCGTGTGAGTCTACATGACGCAAATCCCAGGGGTCGCTCTGGTGAGGCCATCTCACCAACCTTTGGAAACTGCTCTCTACTCTCCTGGTAGAGATGGCAGAACCAGGACCAACCCCTGGGAAGAGGGAACAGCGAGGCCCGCATTCAGCCCCGTGGCTTTTAGACTTGAGGATCTGAGAGAATGGAACTGTCACTTCCCCAAGCCTGCTGCCCTCCCCACTTCATGGAGGAGCAGGGCACCCCCAGTCACTCCCCAAGTTACAGGCCAGACCCAAATTACTCCTCCTCTTTCATTTCTAGGAAAGGAAGGAGGTTGAGCTATAAAGAAGTGATTGGGCCAGGGACAACATTTGAGTTTCTCTTCGTCCACATCTGGGCCACCCTAAGAAGTCACTTAGGGTGTGTCTTACCCTGAAGGAAGCAGAGACATTTTTTGCCAGTTGTGCTCGCTGGAAAGCACCCTGGTGGCAAGCAGAGCATCGTGCTGTAAGTTTCTAGCCTTGGCTAGTCCTACCTGCTGCTTCTGTCCAAGAGCAGCTGGAGCTGGAGATTCAGTCCTGACCCTGGCCCAACACGAGCCTCTCCTGACCCCAAACCCAGTGGCTCCTCAGCAATCTGCCAGGGCCAGTCCAAGACCCAGGCAGACCAGGGCACCTCAACTCAGCATCTAGACATTGTGTGTGGAGAGGGTCCCCAGCCACTTTAGGCCTGCAGCCCCATGTAGTATGTCCCTCTAGCGCCCGTCTCAGGTTGGGAGCAAAAGTTGGCTCAAGGACACTCAGACGGCAGGCCAGGGCCAACTGCAACATGTGTGTTAATTCTATGACAAGCGTGTGTTAACTTTTTGTCTGAGATGTCCAAGGGTTTTCTTGAGCATACTCTGTTTTCAAGAGAAAATGAAGTCTGACCCACAAAACAGGGAAGGTATTTCTGTTTCAGTGGCTTCTTATGCATACGAGCACTGTTCACGCTCTGAATGTGTGTTAGCCCCGCTGATCCTCACAGCCAGCCAAGTGGGAGGGAAGAAAGGAAGCACAGCCCAGGACTTGAACCAGCCAAGCCCCAGCTGTCAGTAACCCACCCTATTTTTTGACCCACCGTGATAACTTTGACATGAAGTTGTTGAGACTGCAGGGATCCCAGGACCTCAAAAACTGTGTCTTCCCCTTTCTAGTCCCCCTCAACTCCATCTGCTGCCAGAGGAATCTCCCCAGAATATTTGGGTCCAAAGAATTCATTTTGAAAAGCATTGATTTTTTTTTCTAATAACCAAATAACTATATATAGTCATGTGTTTCTTAATGGTAGGGATATATTCTGAGAAATGTATCATGAGAAATCATGTCACTATGCAGGCAGCATACAGTGACCTTAGGGCATACGATATCTCTAGGCTCCAAATCCACACAGCACGTTACTGTACCAAATCCAGTTCGCATCTGTAATACATGGCAAGTACCGTGCACCTAAGCCAATCTAGGCAGGTCTAAGTATGGCAAGGGCCTGGCATGGCAGTGCACACCTGTAATTCCAGCCCTGTGGAGGCTAGGCCAAAAAGATGGAGTGCTTGAATCTGGCTCGGGCTGCATGGGTGAGATCCTACCTCAAAAAAAGGAAAGGGAAGAAAGAGTGGGGGAAGCGTACAGTAAAACTGCTAGGCAATAGCAAGTCCATGGCTCCACTGTGGTCTGTGAGGAACGCCAATGCATATAAAGTCTGTCGCTGACCAAGCATCATTCCACAGAATGTGGCCACAGCCCTCAAACACACAAGATGAGAAGGGAGAATGGTTAGATTTGGGAGAAAGGCTGCTCTTCGGTATGTTTTCAGAGCTGAAATCTTAGAAATTATCACCAAGTCCGCATACCACCTGAGGCACCTAAGAGAACCTCGGGTGGAAAAAGCGATGGGCAAAGGGGAAGCCCAATTCTGGCTGGACACCCAGCCCAGAGTCTCCCCCATGCAGTCCCAGGCAGTCCGTAGCCATTCTAATCAAAGCGGTGCAGCCGCCAGCACACGCTGAATGGCCTGGGTGGCCATTCAGGACCTCACACCATCTAATGTCCTGGGAAAGTGGGTGCAGAGTTCACAATAAGGCAGTCTCCAGAGATGAGACCCCGTGAGGCAATCAGATAGCGGAGGAGAGGGGCTGCAGAGAGCAGAGGGGCTAGGCCCCCCGATAGCAGAGCGAGAAATGAGAAGAAAGAGGAAAGAGGGGCCAGTTAGGTAAGGAGAGAGGTAGGTTGGGCACCAGGGGTGGGGACAGGGGACAGGCACGGGTAGAGACGAGGGCCTTCTGGATCCCAAAGCCTGGAGAAATAGCTGCCCATTCTCCATGGGTTACAGGCTATGTTAGTGTACGCAGTTCAGAGCCCAACCAGTCCCTCACCCTTGGGCAGGATGAGGTCACCTTAGTGACCATTTCTGTCCCTTTTGGACCCTCCTGTCACAGTCGTCCAGTCCCGTAGAGCCCCAGAAGCCTCCTCAAGATCTGCCCCCTTTACTGAGCTCCACGCAACCCAGGCCACCTGCCATTCCCAGTCTGCTCCCAGCAAACACGGTAAGAGGCAGACACCAGAGCACAAACTAGGTGATCTGGGGAGAGCTTGGCCCTGGCCCTTCATGTCACCGTTAGTGAAGCTAGGACTTGCCCAAGGCCTGACAGCAGGTCTCTGCCAGAGACAGGCCTGCAGGCTCCGGGGGGGACTTACCTTCACACCATCGTTCTTCTTGTTTCCTCCGCTCTTCCCTCCTGTGGAGGAGAGAAAGTAGAGCGTAAGTAACACCAAGCATGGCACCAGGGCCCACAGGGTGAGGAAGAGCAGCATTTGCATGCAGCAGAGCGGCCGGCCGGCTGGGCTGGCCAAGAGTAGCAGAGGGAGGGTCGGCTGTCTGGGAACAGAGCTGGCTTGGCCACCAAGGAGAGACTTCCTCCTCCTTCCTCTTGTCTTCCACCTTCCACTCCCTCTTCCACAGTCCAACAGAGCGGGCCTGTGATCCCCAGTTCTCAGCGATCTCGGGGATAGCCCTATGACTTTGGGGCTTGGAGAGGTGTCCAATGCGTCTCGGGACTGTCGGGCTGCTGTGTGAGCCTGGGGATTCCCTCTGGATTCCTGTCACCAGGGCTGTTGGTGGCCAACTCAGAGAGGCCTGCAGCCTGATTCAGGGCTGGAAGCTCCCTGCTTTGGCCCCCACCTGCCCCGGCCCTCTCTAATTTTAGTCCCATGCTGCTGCTGAGGTCATGTGTCAGCCCTGCCTACTCACTCTGGACAGCTGCAGACTGCATTTTGCTGGTGACAAGAAGCAGACGTCCCCTGCTGGGGCCCACCCCTGTCAGAATGTTCATTCTCTGCCTTTCTTCTCAGCAGCACAGGGCCTAAGTTCAACCTCTGGAATCTCACTCTCGGGCTGGCTGAGTCCTGGTGGTAGCCATGCTCTCACAGAGGCTTGGACCATGCATTCCCCTCCCCCACTTTATTTCCTGACTGCAGTGGGCATGAGCCAGAAGGTAACATGAATGCCCAGTCCTGCCCTGACTGGTATTCGGTCACTTCAGACCTTTCAAAAATGCCTTAAATGACACACGTTTTTGTGAAGTGCTTAGCACAGCATTCAGGATATATATAGTTGGCCCTCTATGACATTTATGACTAGTCCTTCTCCAGGGAGCCCCAAGAAGGTGAACTAGGGATGGGGGTGAGGGCGTTGAGGGATGAACTCACAGATGCCCCAGCGCTCAGTCCCTCCATAACTCCCCCTGTGACCTCTCGAAACTCCTAAGGGGTGGAGGTCGTTTCTGTGTGCCAACCCTGAAAGGAATGGCATCTGTCTCACCAGACTATGCAAGTGGGATCAGAATGCACAGCAGGGAACAGTGTTCACCTTGGAGACACTCCGCTCCAGCCCAGTGTTGGACAGGTTTGTATCCAGTGTAGCCAGACCTTGATTTTATTTTCTTTACAGAATAGACCCAGACTGGCCTTTATTTACTGTGTGACCTTCTTCATGCCTCCATCTCCTGAACCTTGGATTACAGCCATGTGCCACCACACACATGTGATGCTGATTTTGTTTGTTTGTTTTGTTTTGTTTTTCCAGACAAGGTTTCTCCGTGCGGTCCTGGCTATTCTGGAACTCGTTCTGTAGACTGGGCTGCCCTTGATTGTTATTTGGTGCTGGAGAAGAACTCAAGGCTTCAGTCTGACCATGATGGCACACGCCTTTAATCCCAGCACTGGGGAGACATAGACCAGTATATCTCTATGAGTTCAAGCCCAGTCTGGTCTACACAGAGAAACCATGTTTTGGAAAAACAAAACCAAACAAACAAACAAACAAACAAACAACAAGAACTCAAAGCTTCATGCATGGTAGGTAAATGATTTACAATCTAAGCTACATACCCAGGTTCCAAATTTTTGAAAGATCACAGAAATTTCTCTCTCTCTCTCTCTCTCTCTCTCTCTCTCCCCCCCCCTCTCCATAATCTCTTCATTGTGTGTGTGTGTGTGAAAAAGCTGATGTGTGTCTGTCTGTGTGCACATATGGATGCTAGACGCTAATGTTGGATACCTCCCTTGGTCATGTTCTTCCTTTTTTTTTTTTTTGGACAGGGTCTCAGTACATAGCTCTGTCTAGGACTTGCTATGTAGACTAGACCAAGCTGACCTCAAACTCACAGAGATCCATCTGCTTCTCTGCCTCCCGAGTGCTAGGATTAAAAGGGGAACCTTTTTAAACCACCAGTTCCCCTTGTGTTTTGAGACAGGGTAGCTTATCAATCTGGGACTAGTTGGCCAGCTAACCTCATCTCTGCCAGCGTCGGGATTACAGACAGGCACTGACACATTTAGCTTTCCATGGGTGCTGGGGATCTGAACTCAGTTCCTCATGATTGCCCAGCAAGCACTTCATCCATGAAGCCATCTTCCCAAGCCCCCAAATCTTTGATTCTTAATAATTAGAAATATATTTCCCCAAACTTTTTTCTTTTCTTTCCTCTTTCTCTCTCCTGTTCATTTTTGTATTGGAAACCAAAGTCAGGTCCAAAAATTCTTCTTCAAAATTTTATTTAACTATTTGTGTGTGTTTGTGTGAATTTCTGTGTACCACATGTATACAGGACCCCCATGAATGCCAGAAGAGAGTATTAGATTCCCCTATAACTGGAGTTACAGGCAGTTGTGGGCTTCCATGTAGGTTCTAGGAGCCAAGCCTGGGTCCTATGCAAGAGCAGTAAATGCTCCTACCTGCTGAGCCATCTCTCCAGCATTCCTCTGCCACCCTCAAACAAAACAAAGCAAAACCCAGTTCTCTTACACAGCCCTGGCTTACCAAGCCATGGGCCCCTGCTCTTGAGCTTGAGACTGCTGTTCTCCAGGGTGCTATCATTGTAAAACAGCGAAACAAAACAACCCCTGTCTGTGCAGCTCAGCTTCCAGTGTTCAGCGAGAGGAACGGCCAAGTCCATGAGTGAAGAGAGTTCAGCGTGGTCGAAGCCCACTTCTAAAGCTGGGTCTTCTCCTGGGTCATCACACAGGCAAACCCTCCTAGGGGACCCAGGCCTGCGCCCTACTCAGAAGTGACCCCTGGCTGCAGTTGGCCTGTCTGTGTGTGCAGCTGTCTGTGCTGGCCCAGCCTCGGTGCCAGGGCCCCTCCAGCGAGCTCTGCCACTTCCACTGCCAGTATCTGAGTCAGCACCCAGGACTCCCCAGGGAGAGGCCTGAAGCGGTGCTGGCCCGCCCCTGACCCGTGTGCCAACAGGAGTCGTTAAGCTCTGACAATAATCCCTTTTCCTCCTGTTTGAAGCTACACGCCCAGGACTTGGCCACTCCCTGCCTGGGAGTCTCCCGCCCTGGGTTGCTGGTAACCCAGCATGGATAAGAGCATCCGCCCTGAGTTGGTCAGACCTATGCTGAAGACAGGGTCAGCCTCTCTTGAGTTCTGAGACCTGCTAGGAGACAGAGCACACTTAAATTTTTGTCACCCCATCTGGGAATAAAAGGGAAAGGGTGTCACCCCACTGCCGTGTTGTGTTCAACTTGAACTGAAGCCAAATGCCTGTTGTATACGGCTCTAACATCAGCGTCTCCTAAAGTCTCACTCCTTCCTGCTGGACTAGACCGCAGTAACTGTCCACTCCTCTAGTGGCCCGGCCTGAGAACCCCAGCACTGCTGTGGGCTGGAAAACCAGACTGAAGCTCTAACCAGGCTTCCGTTTGCTGACTTTTAATCTCTCCTTTCCTTCCTCCATGCCGATTGTGATGGGTTAACAAAGCCTGGACCGCGGTATCTTCTACAGCCCTGTCTCTGGGACACCTGGCTACCCAACAGTGTAATGGCATCCAGCAGGCCAGTGCAGGATGTACCGGGGACTCTAGCCCCACCACCTACCGGAGAAGTTCCTGGTGGCCAGCATAGTGGTGAGGATGGCTCCCTGCAACAGATAAGATGGGCCCAAGAAGAGGCACAGGTGAGGGGAGGAACATAGGCAGGAACAGAAGTTACATTGGGGGAAGAACAGGCAGTGTGGCCTTCAGAGACAAACCAAAGCCCCTGCCCCTCCATGTGATCCCTCCCCACCCTCCAGCCCAGAGCCCATCTGCTCTCCCTGGAGGAGCAGCTTTGGCAGGCCCAGTTCTTGAGACAGGAGCAGACATTAATAGGCCCCACGGTCTAGACAAAACTAGTGGACACAAGAACACTCGAACAGGGCTCCTAAAGACTCCGGAAGTTTCTTGTGCTGCTAGGCTTGGAGAATCTGGCTCTAGAATCAGTTCTTCCCTCCACGGCCCCTGGACTATAGCCAGGAGGATATCAACTTGGAGAAGCCATTTCTGTTGGTGAGTGGATGGAAACCAGGGCCCGACTGGTCCTCGTGGTGTCTCTTTAAGACCTGACTCAGACCATCTCCGAATCCAACAGCCCCTCAGGTTAAGAATTCCTGATTCCCGCACTGGGAAGCTTCCTTCTCTGGGGACAGTTGCCAGTGGGGTGAGAATGACTCAATTTCCCCGACATCGTGCTGGTCATGACGCAGTGGGCTTCCATTCCAGGTCTGGGAGCAGTAGGTAAGGGAGTTGCCAGTGAGTCAAGGCCTCCACATCTGTCCTCGCTGTCCCTGTCGGACACACTGACAGCTAGCTATCCTAGAGAAGCCTTCTTAGCCTACTGAGTACAAGACCTGCTGAGAAGGCTCAGCTCAGGACCCACTTTGATTTCACAGTGGATGTCACAGGTCCCCCAACCTATCTCTAATAGACTCATCCATTCTTCCTCCATGCTGGGGTTTTCTCTCTCACACACACAAGTGTGGTATCATGTCTGGTTACATGTTGCCCCCCTCCCACGCACACAAAAACAACCTCTCTTAAACCATCTGGGGTCCCCTAGAGAGTAGCGCTCCCTCTTGCAGACATCTGTACAAACCGTCGCTCCATCTGGATCATCTCCCCCTAGCCACTTTACACCCATTTGTCCCCAAGAGTCAACTCAAAGGCCCCTGCCTCCAGGAAGGCCTCCTGAAATCCTCCCCGGAATCCTTCAGACTGGGGAATGCCACTGCCCTGCTGTGTTTCCCACCCCATCAGGCACAGTACTCACCCTCACCACGCCCCAGCAGTGTCCTGCTTGTCTGTCCTCTCAACCAGAGTGCAGACAGGGTGGGATGGGGTCAGATCTGCTGCTCACTCCCCCAAACCCTTGGTGACCAGCGTGCAAGATTGTCCAGCAAGCACATGTGAACTGATGAAGGAAAGAAGTAATGAGTTCAGGGATGTCACAGATAGGGACCAGTTACCTTCAGTTTCCTTCTGGCATTGAACTTCTTCAGGCAGTCCACGGTCTCCTGTCTGTGCATGCAGGAGGCCACAGTGGAGCGGTGCTGGAGAAAGGGTAAGAACCGTGTGAGGGCAGATGGACCCAATGGCATTTGAGCAGAAATGACAACATCTTAAAGAGGATCATCCTTCATCTTGCCACAGGGCGTGGGATGGTTAGGATGGTGGCACCAGTGGGTCAGTGCCAGTGCCAGCCCCCAGTATGATGCCAACCAACCCAGAATATCCCTCAATTCTATATTGTCCCTGAGACCCACTGGGAGCCAGAGATCCTTGGATAAGGCCCCCTCAGCCCCACCCTGGAGCTCTGGGGGTGAAGGAGAAGACCTGAGGGACCAGACCTCCTGAGTGGGCTGGGCTGAAAAAGGCTCACCGAGATCCAGGGGTGCTTGAGAGCCTCAGCGGCTGTGATGCGTTTGGATGGGTTGATGGTCAGCATCTTATTGATGAGATCCTTGGCTTCGGGGGTGACGGTGTCCCATTCTGGCGATGGGAACTGGAAGGGGCAGAGGGGCCAGGTTTGCCTAGCCTGCCCCAGGCCACCCCTGCGATCCTCCAGCCCCTGACTGGCAGGGGAGCAGGCAGGGGTTCTCATGCCCAACCTCTCAGGCATCCACAAGGTACTTAGAAACTTGGGTGCCAGACACAGATGGCTACACCTGGGTCCCAGTCACTAAGCCTCTTCCTCCTCAACCTCTCTCTGTGTATACTGAAGGGTAATAGATTATGACTATGTCATAGATTGGAGTGATGGTTTCATGTGATAATACATGTAAAATATTCAGAATAACGAGACAGAAGTGCTGAGTCATTTTAATATATGGAAGAAAAAAAAAGGCATGTCTCAGACTCGGGTGTGGTGGGACACAAGACTATCTCAGCACTTGTGAAGTGGGGAGAGGAGAATCAGAAAGCCTTGATTACATCGTGACTCTCAGACCACCCTGATCTCATGAGACATTATCTTTTTTAAATTAATTAATTATAAATAAATATGCTTGGGGCCTGTTCCTTGCCTCTACCTTCTTCTAGTGCTCCATAGAATAAATTCCGTTATTTTTAGACCCTAACCATTAGTTACCATGTGATCATAACCTGACTCTGCTGGTCAGTCTTGGGGCTACCCACCCTGCAGTGGTGAGAGCACTGGCCTCTTAGGCCACTGGTTCTCACCAGAAGGGGAGCATCAGCGGGAGAGGGGAGCAACACTCACATCATAGGCGCCAGCCTTGATCTGCTGGTACAGGCGGTGCTGGTCCTCGTCCCAGAATGGGGGGTACCCAACCAGCAAGATGTACAGGATGACCCCTGGGGAGAGGAGCAGGACAGGGGTGGTGAGACAGGAGAGTGAGGGGAAGTGGAGAGGGACCTCTGGGTCCGGGTGACAATCAGGCCTTTGGATGGACTCACCGCAGGCCCACAGGTCCACGGGCTTCCCGTACGGGTCCTTCCGCAGCACTTCTGGGGAGAGGTATCCAGGTGTCCCTGCGAACCCTGCTCCCCAGACACACAGACAGGCAGACACACACACAGAGGTTGGCACGTGAGTAGCCTGGAGCAAGACCCTGCAGGAGAGGGGACGAGGATAGCCCTGGAGCTGGAGAACACAGCCCCGCCCCAAAGCTGGGGTCGTACTGTGCAAACCCAGGGGTCTTGGTAAGCTGATGAGGCCTGTACTCCAGTCTGGACCAGACAGGTATATACCACACCTGCCTTCTACTTGCCATCCAGAGCCTCAGTCGACAACAATAATCAATCACAGAGCTCCTTTTACTATAGGCCCCAACCTTCCCTGTAGCCATTACCTACCACTTGTTGGTGGCCTTTAAGAGCTGATCCATTGCCCACACCCCACACCCTGCTCAAGGGATGCTCATGAGATAACAGAAATTTGGTCCTAACTCTGGCTAAGCTCTGTGTGTGTGTGAGCTGTGTGTACGTGAGCGTGTGTGTACATGCATTGTGTGGTATATGTGTGTATGTGTGTGCATGTATGTATGTGTGTGTGCTGTGTCTATATGTATGTATGTGTGTGCTGTGTATATGTGTGCATGTGTGTGTATTGTGTGTGGTGTGTGTGTGTGCGTGTGTGTGAGCATGTGTACATGTATTGTGTTGGTGTGTCTATGTGTATTGTATATGGTGTGTGTGCATATGTGCGTGTATGTATGTTGTGTGTGTGATGTGTATATATATATATGTGTGTGTGTGTGTGTATTTACTTTCTAGACCTTAGTTTCCTATTCTGTCAGATAAAGGATTAGATGATCTTACCTTTAATACCTCTCAATACTGAGAAGACTGTTGGAATAATGAACACCGAGATATCTTAACTAGATATCTTAACTAGTCACCTCAGGAGTAGTTACTAGTTGCTGCAGATGTGTGCTAAGCATTGGGCTGGTCACTTCACATGCCTGCTATTAGTTACCGTCTTGGGATCCCTGAGGGACATGCTACTATCCTCTTCTAAGAGATGAAGAAAACAAGACTTGATTAAAACCACACACCTTGTAAGTAGCAGAGTCAGGATTTGAACCCAGAACTCTGGCTCTTACTTGTTTTTGTTTAGTTTTAAGGCAGGGTCTTACATATGTAGCCCAGGCTAGCCTTGACCCCCTGTTTTTCTGCTTCTAGTTCCAGGTGCTGGGTTAGAGGCCATTGCTGTCACACCCAGTTTAAGCATTCTGGGTCTTAACCACTGGTCACTATTGCTTACTAAGAAGTACCCCAAAGGAGGAAACGTGCCCCATTATTTCCAGTCCTGACACATGCTGGATTATCTGCACTCAAGCGCCAGGGCTTCTATGCCTATCCAGTTCTGACCTTTCCCAAGCCGCTTAGCTTGTCCATTCTCTGTAACACCCAGGGGAACCCTACAGAGTTCCTGCCAACCCTGAAGTTCATGCCCTCACAAACAAGACGTACCACTGGTCAGTGATGGCCCTTTGCCTAAACCTAGTCCTGAGGGAAAGAAGTAGGCACTGCCCACTAGCCCAGAGGCTGACTAGGGGCAACCCTAGACAGCCAAACAGCCATCTCTAGCCATCTCATCTTGAACAGAGGGTTCCCAGGAGCACACATGTTGCCCGGAGTATGCCCCTCCCTTCTCCGCCACTCCACACCCCACTCACCAAACCATGCCTGCTGCTCCCCTTCAACCTCTATGGCCAGGCCAAAGTCCGCCAGCTTCACTGCAGCACCCTTGAGCTTCGAGGCCAGCAACAGGTTCTCAGGCTTCCCGGGGCCAGGAAGGGAAAGAGGGAAGGAGGGACCAAGAGATAGTCAGTAGGTTCAGAACCTCACCCATAGCCTGGGCATACCCAATGAGTGGCTGAATGGTTCAGGGTCTCATCCCCTCCCGCCCCTCCGGATCCAGGATCTTGAGTTCCTGTGCCCAAGCGTGCAACTATGGCAAGACCCTCAGCTTTTGCAACAGAAAGATTCTTTCTCCCACAGCCTCCCCAGGGTTGAGAGCTGGGGCTGGGGAGAGCTGAGATGGACCAGGGTGACACAGCCCAGCCTCCTTAAGAAAACAGCTGCATCTTTTAGCACCAGCTCAGTGCTGTGGTCCACTATCAACCTCTCACCAGTGGCCCCAGGGACCTCAGGACAGGCATTAGTCTTTGCTTCCCATGGTGACTGCTTCCACCCCTCTAAACAGTCCCCTAGTCCCCAGCTCAGGGCCTTTGTGTTGCCTGTGCTCCCTACATGGCTTGCTCTTCTCCCAAATACCTGTCCTGTTCTCAGACTCATGTCAGCCCTCCAAAGGGCTCTCTCTAGTCTGTGCTAGCTCCTTATGTGCATATTATCACGTCCGTAAGATGGAGAAAGTGGAGCCCTGAAGGAGTACGTGACGGGTGTCACGGCAAAGGCTGACTCCATCTTACAGACAATGGGGCTTGGATGTGGGACATGGGGGATGCCCACAGCTGACCTCTGGGGCATCAAGGCTGCTGCCTCTGGCCTAGGTGCCCAAATCTTGCTACCATCTTGAGACTCTGGACAAAGGGGAACTGAGACTATGGAGTTCCACATTTTGTCTCAGCTTCCAATTCCAGCACTGCCAGGGCTGTGATGGAACCTGGCCAAATGATTTCCCTGCTCTGATGGTTGGCTTCCTTTCAGAGAAAAGGGACAGATGCCTGCCTTGTAGCACGGTGTCTAGGTGTGTAAACAGCAGTGCTTCGGGTTCTGCTTGATGGGCGCCAGGCCCTGGTGCTCAAACTTCCTGCTGGGGGCGGGGCTGAAGCCCTCTGTAGAGACAGCTGGTGTCTGCTCTGGCTCTTGCTCTTTCCCAGCCGGACTTCCAGGACCCCCTCCCGACCTTTCGCAGTCCAAAACTAGCACGACACAAAGAAATAAGACCCTTGCCCCTGGCTTGGTGAGGCCTCCTTTATCCGCAGGGGCTGTGTTCCCAACATGTCCTGTGTCTCAGTAGTGTTCTGCCCTGATTTGATGAATGTACCACTAATTAGTGATTCCAGAGTGGCCTAAATCTGGGTCGCTTCTCAGCTCTCCGGCTTCCGGCTTCCTCTTCCCCAGCATAGTCTGTTACCATAACGAGAACAGACCCTTGGGGAAAGCCACCCTTCCCTCGGACTGAGACCTTGTCCCTGGGCCTACCTTTTTGTCACCAAGGTAGAGGGAACTCACCTGGAGCACAGGTAAGACCTCAAGTAGAGCCTAAGATAGTACGAGAAAGGTAGGGAACTTTTTCAGAGCACTGTGCCCTGAGCAAGGATGGGGACTGGCTGACTAGGGAGGTTATCCAGGCTCAAAAGGGCCTGGAGTCAATCCTGGTGGGAATGGGGGTTGCAACTCTGGGAAGCCTGAGAATTCCTCAATAACTCTGGGGCTCCCAAGTTCTTTTGTATTTCAAACTGGGGCTGCAGGCAGTGTCCACAGTGAGTGTTCCTGCCAGTGCTACCCCAGAGGACGTCCGCAAAGTTGCTGATGTCCAAGATTCCTGGACACCTGGCATGCTTGTCCCAGAGTGGCTACCGCAGAAGCTGAATTGGATTAAATAGCTTTCTAGACCTACGCTGTGGGGGAGGGGCCCAGGCTCTGGGCTGAAAGCAAAGCCAGGGGTCCTTGTCCTTGCTCAGACTCCACTGAAATGCAGGCCCTTGACAAACCCCCTGGACTCTCCGTTTGTTTCCTCGCTTGTAAAATGAGGGTTCTGTGAGTTACTGACTGCTGATATCACAAGGCTGATGAAGGAGCTCCGTGAGGTCCATACGTACTGGGTAAGGTCACGTAGCCCATGACTGATAATGCTAGACTTCTTAATGCTATCCCTTTCCTTCAGGTGGGCAGAAAGGGGGTACAGAGGGTCTCCAAGCCCTGATTTCTTCTCCTCTGCCTGACAGAGACCCAGGAGCAAGAGAAACAGGATGCCTGTATTCCAGGGATGTTGTGGTTTCCTTTAACAACCTCATCAATGGGCAGAGGTTGCCATGACAACCCCTCTGTAGGGAAGCTGAGTCACCTGGAAGATAGTCCAGCTAATGGGTTAGAAAGATGGCTCAATGATTAAGAACACGGGCTGCTTGCTCTTCCAGAGGACCAGGGTTTGTGTCCTAGTGCCCACATGGAGTTTCGAAACTGTCTGAAACTCCAGTTCTAGGGGGTCTGATGCCCTCTTCTGGTCTCCACAGCCACCGGGCATGCATGGGGTGCACATAGGCACACACACACATGTGATGCATATACATAAAATAAAGAAACTTAAAAAAAAAAAAGTCAAGTAGTTACAAGGCAGGAGGCTGAGTTCTGCTCCCTTTCCAACCCACGTGGCCGCCTCAGTCTGATACCCTTCAACTGCCTGGCACAAGCAGCGTGAGGCCTAGGCCTAGTAGTCCTACCTCCCTGAACTCAGTTTCCTGACCGGACAGCTTTGACAGCTGGGAAAACAGTCACCCACCTCAAGGTGGAGAAATTAAAGGAATTCAGGGGGAATACAGAGCAGAGGACCTGGCTGAATGACTGAGTTCCCTTCCCAGGCCCCAGTTGGAACGGATTTGGGTGGTGCTCTTTATGGGGGTAGGCTGGGAGACCAGAGCCAAGGGGCTGGGCCTCTCCAGGGTTACTCACCTTCAAGTCTCGGTGCACTACTCCCATCTGGTGACAATGCAGCACAGCCTCCAGGATCTGCTGGATGCAGTGACTGGAGAGAAAGGGGAGGGGTCAGGCCCCCTGGGAAGCTGGCTGCAGGCAAGGGCACCCTCCCCCTCCCTCCAGGCGCCTCTGCTAGGCTGCACCTGGTACTCACCTGGCATCGGCCTCGCTGTAATACTCCCGGGCCACGATGTCTTCAAACAGCTCCCCACCAGTGACCCTGGGGAGACAGGCACGGAGTCACCCTTCCACTGAGACTCCAGGTGCCACCTGGCCTGGAGGAACCTTCTGGAAATCATCTGAGAAGGGCAGGGCCAGGGACCTTAGAATCCCAGCCCTCAAAGGAAGAACTGGATCATGAATGTCCCTGCTGCCACCCCCTTCCTGTTTTCTGACATAGCCAAATTTCCTGATGCCTCTTCCTCCTCACACTGGGTCCAGACCATTGGGGACAATAGCGCAGAAGCAATCATTGGGTCCATGAGGCTTCTGGAAGCCCATGGTCCATTTGGCTTTGCTTAGCTTGCTTTTCTGTTTATTTTAAAACCATTTTTGTTTTTTTAATCACGTGGAAGCTATGGAGATTTCTCGTGTGCTCCTGTCCCCAACATGCCTGCCCCCCAACACCACTGTTTTACAGACCAGGCCAGCATCCTCACCGATTGCCACCGCCCACCCAAGAACAACTGACGCCTGTCATTTTGTTCCTGCTTTGACAAACCAGATTTCAAAATGGAACTTGATATCACTACCATGAGCGGCAAGGCAGCATCACTGGCCACAAATAGAGAAGCAAAAATAAACTGATGATGCTGGTCGAATGTGTCTGGTGTTTTAAACAGAAAGACCAGCTTGCACAGCTTGGGCAGTGGCCGGCGACATTTAGGGGAACTCTAAGAGCATTCGGACTGAGTCCTCAGACCGAGTCCCTCAGGGCCGTCCCTGCCTAGACACCCTTCTCCCATGGCATGACGGGGGGAGTGTGGATAAGACTCACAGATCGAAGATAAGGTAGTGATGTCCCTCCTCAGAGATGCTGTCATGGAGCCGGACTGTGGACAGGGCCAAAGCAACTGGTTACACGGGGTTCACTGCTCACCACCCCTCTGTCCCTATTGGATTCCTGGAACCACCACCTCAACCTCAGTCCCTGAGCACAGACTTTAACAAAAGCAAGAGGAATGGGCTGACCACACCAAGACCCCCAACATTACTGAAAGGGGACTAGGCGTAAAGACTGAAGACCTCTGTGTGTCAGCTTGGTCCCTCTCCCTGTTCCAGCCCTCACATCCATTGCTGGGCAAACCAGAGTGCTACAAGAGCCGGTGGTGCCAGTCTCTGCCACAAACTGGCTGTGTGACAGTACCTGGGCAAGTTACTATGCCTCTCTGAACCTCTTTTTTCCTTATTTAGACTGTGCTAGGTCATTACAGGAGTCCCATGAGGTGCACAGCCGTGCCCACTCAGTGCTGGCCCCCGACTGACATCCCTGCTCTGCAGTCTAAGACAATAGTGTTCCCTGGGGCTGGAGTGAGAGGGACAGCAGTTGGTTTCTGCACTCTGAAGGCTGCAAATTTGCCATCTCTTCACACCTCATTTGCCAGGAACAGAGAGGCAAAGCTCCCAGGAGCCCAGAGCTCCCTAAATTGCTCAGCTTTTAAAAGAAGGGCCTGCAGCCTAGGACTGGCTCTGGAAGCTATGGCCTGTTAGCCAAGGACCAGTTCTCACAAGCCTAGGGTTGCCCATCCTTCTCTGTGTCATTGACAGTCAGGGTGGGCGTGCTAACTGAGACAATTAGGATCCTCCTACACAATAGAAGCCACACAGCTGTTGAAATGATTCGGAAGTTCACCCGCTGGTTTGGAATCTTCTCCAAATTATGTCGTTTGGTGAAAAGGCAAAATGTAAAGCTGTGGCATTCTTTCTTTTTTATTTTTTCCCTTTTTTATTTTATTGATTTTTATTGAGCTCTACATTTTTCTCTGCTCCCCTCCCTTCCTCTTCCCTCCCCTTCAACTCTCTCCCAAGGTCCCCATGCTCCCAATTTACTCAGGAGATTTGTCTTTTTCTACTTCCCATGTAGATTAGATCCGTGTATGTCTCTCTTAGGGTCCTCGTTGTTTTCTAGGTTCTCTGGGATTATGATTTGTAGGCTGGTTTTCTTTGCTTTGTGAGTGAGTACATGTGATAATTGTCTTTCTGGGTCTGGGTTACCTCACTCAAAATGGTGTTTTCTAGTTCCATCCATTTGTGTGGCGTTCTTTCTAAAAAAGATGTTTGAGCTCAGGTCTGATACACGTCTGTCTGGGAAGATGAAGAAGTGGACAACAGGGTTGTAAGCTCCCTTCTCACTGGAAGCCACAGCTAGCATCACTGGGTGTGTGACAGCGGCCTTGAGTACAACTCAGTGTGGAGCCCTTGAGTGGTCCATAGCCTTCAGACTCATATATAAATTCAGTGGACTGAGAGGCAGTTCCTGAATGGATGCTCCAGGGGTCGGGAGATGGCCATCAGAGATAGGTGATGGAGGGGGAGGTGTTTTACACAATCTTAAATGAAAATGGTAGAGCTTTTGCCTTTTGATAGCGCTGGGGATTAAACGGAGCAAAGGGATGTAGGGATGTTACCCCTAAGCAGCATCCCTAGACCTTGTCTGTGGCTGTTGTTGATGTTTGTTGCTTGTTTGTCTTTAGAGAGACATAGCTCAAATTCACAATCCTCCTGCCTCCTAAATGCTGGGATTACAAGCATGTCATGTGCCTGGAATGTTAACCCAAGTGTGAAGTATACTTTCTCTTTTAGAGTTCTCTCTCTCTCTCTCTCTCTCTTTCTCTCTCTCTCTCTGTGTGTGTGTGTGTGTGTGTGCACATAAGTGTGCAGGTGCCAGCAGAGGCCAAAATGCCTCAGGTCCCCTGAAACTGGAGTTTCAGGTGGTTGTGAGCCACCTGATGAGGGTGTTGGGAACCCAAGTCTGTCCCTCTGCAGGAGCAGTTAAGGGCTCTTAATTGCTGAGCCATCTCGCCAGTGAAAGCATTCTTAGACGCCTGTAAGCTGTAAAGGCTTTGGATATGAAGTGTCTCCCAAGACTCAAGTGTTAAAGGCTTGCTCTCCAGTGAATAGTGCTATGGGGAGTGATTGGATCGTGGGGATACTAACCTCCACTCATTTGATGGACGTTTCCATTGTGGAGATCATAGCTGGATGGGCTATCAGCAGGTAGAGCATGGTTCGTGAATATCTTCCCATCCCAAACTATTCACTGAACTCTCAGGTTGCAAATAGCCCCTCAAGGTTTCCCATACTCTGGCATGGGCATGAACTTCTGAGGTCTGTCTATCATAAGTGGTGATGGTACCACCCTCACCCAGGCAGGAATGGAGGGGTAAAATGTCTGCAGACACAGCTGGATCAGCCTGTACTGAGATCCCCACTCCCACGCCTTTGGACAGGACAGTGGACACAAGCAGATAACAGCCCATCTGCCTTGCCTGGACTTGCCAAGCAGAATAAGATCTTGTGAGATTTCTCCAGGCACGATGCCCTCTGGGCTCCTGCACCATATCTATACCCTGTTAGATTTCTCTGGCAAGATGGCATCAGCTTGAGATGAGTTATTGGGCAAGATAGGGGCCTTTCCAGCTTCTTCAGCAGTAGCCCATGGCTTCTGTTCCTCTGAGATTCTTCTGGCATCATGCTCGACTCTGCTCCCCACAAATAGCCATGTTTACTCAAGTGTATTCCCGCCCTCATTTCTCCTGACAGCCACAATGCCTAGAAGAGGTCTGAGCATGTGTTAGAGCCTCCAGCGAACTTGACATTGTGTGAACGAGGAGTAAACAGCTCCATGGAGACAGTGGAAAGGTGGCAACTCCTCTCTGGGCTCTTGCACCTCAGCATGTCAGGGTGTCCACCTGTGCCAATGGTGCAGAGCAAGGGCTGTGTGGGGTCACAGGTGAAACTTGTCTCCTGGGGAGATCGTGCTGCAAAATGGGCAGATGGGGCTCGGGGTCCTGAGCAGTGTAAAGCACGTTCACCCTGGCATTGCACTATGCTCTCTTGAATTACCACACCTAGCAAGGCAGGGTAATTCTGAATTTCCAGAAAAGTCTGAATTTCAGAATGGTAAGGCAAGGTGTCTAGGGTTGGCTAAATAGTAACAAAGCAGTGTTTGAGCCACAGCTTGTTACCCCACGGCCCATGTACTCCTGTTACAGCCTGGAGTGGGAGGGAGAGAGACATAGACAGGAACACTGAGTTCAGACAGAGCAGCTGCATGCACAAACCCATCTGGATACGTGTGTGTGTGTGTGTATGTGTATGTGTGTGTGTATCACACACATCACATATATCCCATACACACACCACACATGCACAGAAATACCACACATAGACACACACACATACAGAAATATCTAGATACATGTGTGTGCACATCACACACACACAGGTACCACATACAGACACCATACATGTACAGAGATACCACACATAGACACACACATACAGAGACATATAGATAACATGTGTGTGCACATCACACACACAGAGAAACCTCATATAGACATCACACACACACAGAGAGCAACCACATGTAGACATTACACACATGCAGACACCACACACATATAGAGACACACCACCGAGACACACATATAGAAACAAACACAAAGAGAGATGATACACATGCACAAAGAGAGACACATACAGAAATATGCACACACAGAGATACAGACACACATACAGAGACAAAGACACATGCACAAACACAGAGATACCACAAACACACACAGATAACACACACACGTATGTCACTCTCCTCCTCCCAACCTGACAGCCTCCTTGAGGACATGGGTTTCTATCAGAGCTCCCTGGAACCTTCCATCAGCAGTGAGCGGTGGAGGACCCAGGTAAGCAGAGCAGGGTCCAGCTAGGGCCCTCCTCCAGCTGTGGCCTTTGGCCTCTTCTCTGCTACTGGCTGCCTCTGGCTGCTGTGCAGGGGAGGGGAGGGGCCTCTGCTTGAAATAGCAGGTGGAGGAATCTCCCTGGGGAAAGTTAACTCTTCCTGCTCTGTGCAGGAATCTGCTTCCCCTCCATGAGAGAAGGCAGAGCTATAGGAACTGGAGCTCCCTCAGAGAACTCAGAGGCAGCTCACCTGGAAACAAGCCCCAGGAACCAGCAGCTTAGCTTCCCCTTTGAGAGCCCATCTCAGGCCTATAAAAGCAGAAGCTGCCATAACACAGGACCCCCAGGTGACAAGACAAGGCCATGCGCCAGTGAAGATGAGGGAAGTGGATCTGGAAGCAGCTTTCCCACAAAGGTCTCACAGCTGTGCCAATAGAACAGGATCTGACAGCCCTGCTCTTCCCTGACTGGAGGGATCTGCAGACCCAATGCATCCATGCATGCATTGGAGGGGATAGGTAGTGAAACATAAGACAATGAAGTGTGTTTTAGGACCTTCCCTGTGGTCCTGCCACCATGGACCAAGTGTCTCCAGAAGACTGACCTTGGTCTAACTCTGGGGCAGGGGCCAAGCTCCTGAAAGGGCAAGAGAGAGACAGGGGCAGGACTCAGAAGCTGGACAGGGCCATAGATCCAAGCTAACACTGCATGTGGTGGGTCGGGGCGTGGGCCTTGCTGGTCAAGGCCAAGCTTCCCCCTGTCCTATTTTCATCTTTCTTTTTCAGCTTCAAGAGCTTTCCTGAGACAGCTTTTCCGAAGGAGGCTGCTGGCAGCGTGGGAGGGAGGAAGGGTCCTTTTTCTTCACCTTCCCCCAAAGCAAGCTGGTCCTGAACAAGACGCCCCCTTTCGCATCTTCCTCCACAGCCTCCGTCCCCAGAGAAGAAAGTGGCTGCTCCCCGCTACCCCACATTGTACCAGGACCCCCTCACACTCCCGGGGCTCACCGATATTGGGGTGCTTCAACAAACGGCAGATGCGGGCCTCACGCTCCAGCTTCTGGTGATCTGAAATACAGATTCCCACATGAATCCCGGAAATGTTAGACTCCCACCCTGCTTCTACCATCCTTTCCTCTGAAAGGGTGGCCCCGGGAACTGGAAAATGCACACTACATTCCAGGGCTTCTGAGTTCCCAGAAAAGGCAAGTAGGTGGTGGGGACCTAGATGAGTCCCTCTCCCGGTCCAGGCCTCAGTATCCAGGGCTCTTCAAGGACAGCCTTCTCCAACCCCTTCTTGTATGATAGGGCCCAAACACCCTGAGGTCTGGAGCCCGGGTACAACTCCCTGTAACATCCTAGGCCTGCCCTCAAACCCTAACTCCAAGCACTGCAGAGATTGCCTTTCCTGGGTCCCCTCTGGGAACCACCAGTTCCCTGGGCAGGCAAACCGTATCACCAGCTATGACTCAATCCTCCTGTTCCTTGATGTCATTGGTTTCTAGAAGCTTACCCTGACTTTAAGCCTGTAGGGACCCTCCTCTAGGCTACAGAGAGCCAGGCAATGTTTATGTCTCATAGAACCTACATCCTTGGGCAGGGTCTTTGTTGTACCACCTGTATCTGCTTGAAGGCCTGGTACATGCTAATTATTCAAGAAATCACAAATGGATGGATGGATGGATGGATGGATGGATGGATGGATTGACGGATGGGTACATGCATGAATGATGGACAAATGGACGGAGGGATGGATGAGGCAAGCTTCCTAATGTAATTTTTTTTTCAGAAGAGCTGTTCCCCAGTAGCCCCCTCCATTTCATAGAACACTGGAAGCCGTGACAGGCATCTCCAAAGACTTACAAGGTAGAATTTGCTGTGTCCCTCCCTTGGGGCTGGCCCAGAGCTGCACACCTACCTGCCAGGACCTCTGTCCAAAACTCCCTGTCCCCCAGCCACCTGTAAGAGCTTGTATAAACTCAACAGACTGTGTGGTTTCAGCCTCAGGCTGCTGGGAACAATCATAGCTACCACCTGGTCAGTGCCTGCCATGGTGGTCTGTGGCACCACCACCCCCATTTCACAGATAAGGACACGTGGCCCAAGCCAGGGGCAGTCTTGGGGCTGCCGTGGCCATTGTGCAGTCTTCAGTTCCCTTTGTGCTGTCTGTCCACAATTCATTAGTTAATGCTTGCGTTAAAGAAACAAAACATTTAAAGAGAAATTGCTAGCAAATGTGGAATGGAGGTTGAGCACCCTTTGTCCAAAATGCTTAGAAACAGGGACCAAAAGTGTTTGAGATTTGGGGTTTTTGGACTATCTGCATATACAAAATGAGTTGTCTTGGAAAAGAGACTATAAACTAAGCACAGAGTACATGTATGTGAAATATACATGCATCCTAGGGGTAATTTGACTTCAGTACATGTGCTGCCAAAGTCGGCACCTAAAGGCAATTTTATATGATTTTTTCATGGTGTTGTGCATAAAACCCAGTTTTTCCTAGTGTGGAATGTTCCACTTTCCGTATTACATCCATCCTCAAAGTTTGCATTTTCTAGTTGGAGACTCTGAACCTGAATTTACTTGATGCCAGGCACAGGGCTAAGCATTTGCTTACCTTTCAAGCATTCCTTAGGGGATACTGTCACTGTTCTGACTTCACAGAGGAAGAAGAAGCTAAGGACCCAGTCCAGGCGGTGTGATTGGAGCTGGACTTTAAACCCTGTGTTGTACTGTTCTCTGTAACCTGACTCAGGACTCTCCCTTTGGCCTGCCTGTGCCCCATTGAGGAGGTTGGAACACATAGAAGGACACTTAAGCTACAGTTCAAGGCTGACCCAGGACTAAAACCTCACCACAGGATGGCCCCTCCAGAGCAGGTGTGGCGAGGACAGAGAAAGCCCTTCTTTCCCCTGCTCGCTCCTCTAGATCAATTGCTGGCTGCCCTCTGCGGACTGCAGAAGCCACGATCAATGTTGAAATGCGGCTTTCCCATCAGCAATGCAATTAAGTCCAATTCTGATTTGATAGGCTCAGCTCCCCAGCTGACAACCTGCTGCAGGCTACAGGGAGTCGGGATGGGGTGCAAGGCTAGATCAGCTCCACAGACCCGTCTTCTTCCTCCCTCCCTCCCAGTCTCCTTCAGCACGCTCAGAAGTGGTGTGCAGATTCCTAGCAGAGGAGAGGACTCCAACCAGCCCCTGTCCCCCCCCCCCCCCCCCCCATAGTTCACCTTCATCCACAGCAGAACTAGAGATCTGCAGAGGCAAGGCCCAGCCTATCAAAAGGAATGGGATCTTCTGGTCCAGACAACACATTCAGAGCGATAGGGTGCACGTCTAAATGACGTGACATGTCCCCCTGACATACTAGACAGGGGGTGGGACCAAACACTGGTCACAAACCCGTCATCCCTGTCTGATTACCAGACCTCCCTGCTGGAACTGCCAAATCCTTGGTTTTAAGACTCTGTCGCCAGCCGCAGGCATGGCACAGCTGCCCTGCATGCAGCCTTTCCCTGTTTAGCCATACCCATCTGCTGCATGGGAACAGAATGTTGTTCAGGATTTTCTAGCCCTGTTGATAAAGTTTTCATTTGCTAATGCACCGAGAGGCCCAGTGCTACAGGGCCATGTTCTCTTGATTGTTCTTGCTCTGTTGGGTATAGGAAGAGAAAGGCAGACCTGGTGATAAAGGAGTAGTCCCCTCTTCAATGTCACTGATCAAGGCAGCCAGTCCCTTTCAGAACTTAGAGCTCTGAGGACCTCGCTTCTAGACTGAGCAACTCCTCATCCTAGGTATTTGACTCTGGTGGTTAAGGCCTTTGGGGGGGGTATATAAATAAACCGCTGCTCCTCCTGGGTATCCAACAGACTAACAGCTTCCCAACGTGTTATGATCCAACTCTAGGCTATATCATCTGAGCCACAAAGTCCAGTTACACTGACTTTTTTTCTGGCCTGGCGTATATTTCTGTTTTGTTTGTTTGTTTGTTTGTTCTTCAAGACATGGTTTCTCTCTGTAGGAACTCCCTCTGAAGACCAAGCTGGCCTCAAACTCACAGGGATCTGTCTGTCTCTGCCTTCCAAGTGCGGGGATTAAAAACGTGTGCCACTACCGTCTGGCTATACCATGCTTCTTATCTTAGGGTGTTTGGCTTGCTGTGCCCCCTTCCTAGAGTGTTCCTCCCCTGGGCCTTCTTCTACTGCTTTCCTCCTCCTCAGACAGATCCCAGGACGAAGTCACTTCCTCCGAGAGCTTCCCCAGCTCTCTGCAATGGTCCGTCTGCCCTTCACTCTCCTTCACCAGGTCTGACCTTTCTTTCTTTTAGACTGTCTCTCTATGCTTTAGCCCTAGCTGTTCTAGAACTCACTGTATAGACCAGGCTGGGCTTGAACTCAAAGGTGTGTGCCCCATTCCTCTCTGATTCTCTTGGTAACACAGCTCAGTTCTCCCTCTACCTAGTGTATAGGTGTGTTTCATATCTCATTCCCAGGAAAATGGGCCTAGTGGAAACACAACCTTGCCCACTGGTTACTGCCAGGTTCTAGGGGCCTAGCATGGCGTTTCCGAGAGGCTTGTCTAAACCCCTAGCACAGGCAAGCAGCAGAGCTGCCTGTCAGTTCCTGCGAATAACTGCATTGATAATCGGTGTATGACTCAGTCCCAGCCCACAGCGATGAGACATCCAAGGAAGCTTAGAGTCTCCACACACCCTGCCTGGTACCTGAGAACATAGCCCCTAGACCCACGATGACACCTTGGGGACCTTCATCCCGCTTTGGTTGGGTCAACCTCAGGGTATTGAGGCCAAATTGGAGACAGCCTAGTGCCAGGAGCCAGACAGTCCCAGTCGGGCCAGGCAGGACCAGAGCCTCGCAAGCACACAGGAGGGCTCCTGCAAACAGGTGAGCACAGGTTTGTAGCAAGAGGGAATGATGAATGGGGGAGGGCACTGGGAGCAAAAAAGGCCCCTCCCCGCCCATCCTGGGATATGAGAGAAATAATCCGAAGACCAGAGGTGTCAGGAGAGTATGGGGAAGACAGACTCATGAACCTCAGAGCCTCCCAAAAGCATTGTAACAGGCATCTTACTGAACCTCATGGCACATGAGCCTGCGCCAGGAGTCTGAGCCTAGAGTCTTAGAAGACCGCCCCTGAGCACTGCACCAACCCCACCTTTATGCCCAGAGTCCCTAAGAGGTCCATCGAGCACCTGGGAGGGTCTAGCCCAGAGCACATGGCTGTCATTTACTATGCCAGGACTTTTGCGGTCCAAAAGCCTCACTGAGACAATTCAACTCCAGGGGGAAGCTCATTTTGTTTCCAAGACTGGAATTCAGGACCAGCAGGGATGTAAACAGGCAAAATCTCTACGTTTCATTTTATTTGCTTGTGTTTTCTTTGAATGACACTTGGAATGTGAAGGTTTTGTTCTTAAGAACTAATTTTAAAATACATATAAAAATACCTCCCGGAGTTGGGAGCTACTTGCTAGAAGAGGCCATGTGGGGTGTGCTAGGGGAAGCCAGGGCTTGCTGGGAGGGGTGGATAGAAGCCCCGGGTGGGTCCGGCTCCTGCTGGGAGCTGCGGGAAGCCATCCCAAAGAGCCAGCAGGGGAGGTTTAGAGAATAGCGCCAAATGTGACAGCTTTAATGCCCCCTGTGGAGGCGAGTGACACAAAGAGACCTGCTAAAGGAGTCTCTGCTCTCCTCCCTGCTGGGGAGAGGGTTCGGTGGCAGCAGACAGCCTGTAGAAAGTTCCCTTACACACCCCTGCTCCTAGCCTCTTAGGCAGGCTTCCTTTCCTCCCAGGAGGTCACGGTCTCAACAGAGAGTCAGAGAGAGAAGGCCTAGGTAGTAGCTGCCGGACACTAACAGTGAGAGCCTCTACTGTCCAAGAATGCTTAGTCACCTTCCCAAACAGGAGTGATGGCCTCTATGTCTCTGTGTCCCCTGAGAAGATAGAACTGCAGCCGCAGCCAGCATGATGCTCCCCTGTCATCTTCCTTCCTGATGCTCTTCTGGAGAGGAAAACTTGACCTGCCTTAACTATAGCCCAGGGTTCTCAACCCACGGGTCATGATCCCTTTGGGGGGGTCGAATGACCCCTTCATGGGGATTGCCTAAGACCATCAGAAAACACAGACATTTACATTGTGATTCATAACAGTAGCAAAATTACAGTTATAAAGTAGCAATGAAAATAACTGGTGGGGGGGGGGGCGGTGTCACCACAACACGAGGAACTGCATTAAAGGGTATCGGCGTCAGGAAGGTTGAGAACCACTGCTCCAGCCCTATCCCCAGGGTCTTGGGAACTGGGGCACAACTAGGCACGTAACAGCTGAAGGCTGTGCCAGGCTGCCAACAGGAAGCAGCACTCTGTTCGGACTTCCTGCCCATCTGCTTCCTTGCCTCTGACTCCAACCCCAGACTTTCTGCAGACCTGGCCTTTTCACAATAGTCATGCCAGATGGGGACCCTCAGAGCCTCTCCTCCTAGCCGGATGCAAAGAAGTAAGTAAATAGAGTGTTGTGGGCCAGACGACAGAGCTGGAGACAAAAGGCAGCAACCACAGCCCAGTCCAGGGCTTGCTGGGAGGCCTGCAGAGAGCAGCGTGATCACTGTGGTACAGCATCCCTAGGACCTTCATAAGCCATGCACCTGCTGGGCCCTCATCCAGACAAAGCTTCAGCCTACTAAATTCTTAGACACACTGTGCCTCTCTCCCAAGATTCTGCACCCATCTCACCCAACAGAATTCTCCTTACACCGGCCTTCAAGGTATCTATTGTGGGGGAGGGCGGGGGGTTTGGCTTATCAATACACTGACCTGGTCACCAACTACTGTCCCAAGCACACAGGAATGACCAGAACTCTTCTGAAAGAGTTACCAAACTCCAGTGCCCCTGGGCACCTTAAAGATGTAACTTTAACTGTTTTAGATTGAAACACGGGCCATCTCTCAGGGCATGGTGCTGCTGCTGGCCAGGGTCATTCTAAGGTTTGGGAGACAATGTTCCTAAAGCCTCTGAAGCTACAATTAGCTGGATGTTCTTTTCAAAAGCAGGCCACACCTCAGAGCACCTATTCAAAAGCCAGTGCCTCGAAAAACCAAAAAAAAAAAAAAAAAAAAAAAAAAAAATCAAAAGCCAGTGCCCTGGGAGCAGAGCCACGGACAGTTCTCAGGTAGCACAGAGGCCTGGCGAGGGTGCTGTCCTGGGTGCTGAGCCCAGAGCAGTGGGTGAGTCCTGTTCACTCAACCAGGGATTAAACAAGGAGCCAAAGTGAGGCACATAGTGAAGTGAGCCTGGGGGACAGCTACGTGGAAATCAAAAACAGTGGAAAGAGAAAAATGCAGACTGAGCAGAAGGCAAGAATACTGCTCCGAGGATGTGACCCTGAGTAGAGACCTGGGAAGAGCAAAGGGGCTGCCCATAGAAGGAGCCAGGCTAAACAGAATTACAGAGGTTGGGCGGCAAGCCATGGAGGACATGGTAGAGGGGAAAGGAGAGGGAATACCATGGAGGGCTTGACCTATGTGAGAGACACTGAAACCCCTAGCCTGGATTTCCTGAGGAAGGATCTATTCTCATCACACTCTCAGAAGGAAGAGCTTCCTAGCCTGCCAGCAGCATCTCCCAGAAGCCAAGCTCGGGGTTCGGGTCCACGGCGAGAGCGATAACAGAGTGGAAAACAGGCAGTGGGCAGGCAGCCCGGAACCCACCTCGGGCTGAGAGCTTCTTGGTGTTGATGATCTTGGCAGCATACTCCTGGCCAGCCAGCACCTTCACACACCTGCGCACCACGGAGAAAGCTCCCCTGGAAGACAGAGAACAGTATGGCACAGTCTGAGACCTGTGTCCACAGGCTACCAAGAGCTCCTACAGCTGAACTGTGAAAGAAGCGAGACCCCTTCATCAGAGTCATCTATGTCACGAGAGCTGCAGGGCCTGGCTTACAGCAGCACTGGTCAGGAAGATCCAGAGAGGGGCCCAGATCCTTGGTCTCATGCAAGATGAGCCCTCCAGGTCTATAAAAGTTAGGTCACCAAGTTATAAAACGTTAGAAGCCTGGAGTGAGAACCACAGAATCTGGGTCTCAGAGAATCTTTAGAGCTTTGTTCTTAGAACAAGTAACACATCACACAGCTCCAGGTTCAAAGGAGGTAAATATGTAGACCTGGAAACATCCTGCCTCCACTCCAAGGCCCCAGCCCGCAAACTGTCCTCTTTACCATGGCCTCCGTTGCTGGGGCCTGGAGTCCTTCCTTGTAGACCTCGCCTCACACACAGCACCAGGTAGGTATACTGTTCTGTTTTCTCCTTTCTGCTGTTAACTTAGTTTTCCCTTTGAGACAGGGTCTGACCGTGTAGCCCTGGCTGGCCGAGAACTCAAATCCACCCGCCTTTGCCTCCCCAGTGCTGGGATCAGAAGTGTATGCTAACATGTTCTCTGCTTCTTGATCTGTTGTGATGTGAACAGACTATTGTGTGTGCTACTTCCACAAACTAAGACACTTTGCCGTGTCTGCCTAGGCACAAAACAGTAAAACCCCCTGAAACTGTGAGCCAAATTAAATCTTTCTCCCTGAAGCTGCTTGTCAGGCAATTTTGTCATAGATATATAAAAAAATTTCTAATATAGTATATACATTTTATATATATATATATAATCTCTAATATAGCATATATATATAATCTCTAATATAGCATATATAAATCTCTAATATAATATATATACTATATTAGAGATTTTTTGTATTAGTGATATATATATAATGTACACACACATACATATATATATATATATATATGGAAACCAATTTTCTCTGCCTTTGTCAATGTGGTGTGTTACCAAGCTTTTTTGTATTTGCTGGTAAGAGGGAATGCCAATTTGACACAGATTCAGTTTTGTACGTGTGTGTGGTGTGCGCACATGTATGTGTGTGCTCGTGCAAGCCCTGTGGAGCCGGACCAGGATGTCAGAAGTCTTCTGCTGCTCCTTGCCTTATTGCCTTGAGATACTGTCTCTCATGAGCTGGGGACTGGATGTTTTAGCTAAGCTGGCTGCCCATCAGATTCTCAGGGTGCCATGAAGCCCCCGTGTAGAAAAAGCTTACCTGGTATTAGCCATCCCCCCACAGTACTGGCCACCAAATAAAGGAGGACTAACCAGTCCTCCTGCTGTCTGTACACCCGTGGAATGTCTCCCAAGTCACTCCTGTGCCCCCAGTGCTGGGACTAAGGGCATATGTAGCAGTGTTTGGCTGCTTTATTTCAAAAGAGTTTGAGCACAGAGCCAAAGAAAACTAGTTTGAGGGCTGGATCTGAGCTTGAGCTACCATTTTTGTGCATAATAAAGGCCATCTTGTCAACCCCTCACAAGACCACAGAAAAGTGTCACCATCATCACTGTCCTCACACCAATGACCAGAAGAAAGAGCCTGGGACGACTTCTCAGATGCGAGTGTGCTGTCATTTGGACAAATCATCTAGACACAGTGCAAAAACCACAGTCCAGAAGCCTCCTGTGTGGAGCACGGATCAAGGTGCTGAGCTCCAGGTTGCAGCTCCACGTAGATTGCTCAAGTTCACACTGCACTCACAAGCAGAGCTGTACCTGGGCCTCACACATTTGCGCTTCTGGATTTTTAATGCCGGCACTGAGTACTCACCCAGCTTCCTTTTGGCCATGCTCAGTTCCTGATAGCCTCCAAACTTCTACCCCTACACCTAAAATGATGGGCATGCCCAAGCCACAAGGTGCTTAGATGATTCCTGTGAACCCTGTTATCTGGAAAGCCGGGTCATAGTCTCTCTTCTTGTCGTTAACATGTGAAGCAGGGGCGATGGCGAGTGGACCCCGAGGAAGCCTGCAGCCTGGCATAGATCCTAGATGAGCACACTCTAGCTGCCTCAACACAGGGCAGCAAGAAGTAAGTGGGCAGAAAAGGACAAGGAAGAAAGGAATGGCCAGGATCACATGTATATCGAAGGCATCACACAGTAATGGTTCTTCCCTGGGACATCACATTCTACCTGCTCATCACCAATAAGAAAGCAGAGACACCCCAGGCACCTCCTTGAGACACTGCCTCTACTACAGGGACTCCACTGTACTACATGAAGCCCCCACATAGGAAAAGCTTACCTGCTGTTAGCCATCCCCCACATACTGGTCACCAAATAAAGGTGGCTTCTTTTATGCTAGCCTGTCCTCCTGCTGCCTATACCCCCATGGAAAGTCTTTTTTTTTTTTTTTTTTTTTTTTGCCCGTGGAAAGTTTTGCAAGTCATTTATGCTGTCATCTAGAGTTGGGGCAGAGCTGCAGGTTCAGGGCTCCATTCCACAACACTATGCCCTCACTTCAGGTGCCAACTGTAGGAAATGGTTCCCCGGGTTGCCCGTGCTCCTGTACAACTTTGCTAACAACTGGAAGTTCTTACTGCTGTTCTCAAATTAAAGGATTTTCTATGATAGCTTCAAGAACTCAGGAAAGCACGTTTGTGCGTTTGTTATACAATCTAAGACATGGTGAAGAATACAGATGAGCAGCTGGGGAGAGGAACAGAGGCCAGAGCCTGGGAGATTGGAGCTTAGCGCCACCCCACCCCCACCCCCGGAGCTGAGATATGCCACTGCCGCCACTCAGTGTCCTTACCCCTGCACGTAGGGTCTTTGTGGCGACTTTGCCATGTTACTGTGGCCGGTCAGTAATTTGATTTCCAGTCTCATCTCCCCAGAGAATGGAGAATGAGGCTGAAGATTCCAAGCGTCCAATCAGAGCTTGGTTTTTCTGCTGGCCACCTCCATACTGAAACCCACCACGAGTCACCCCATAAGAGCCAAAGATGTTTCCAGCATCTGGAAATCCCAGGGGGAATTAAGAGGTTTGTGTCGGGAACTGGGGTCAAAGACAGCAACAAATACTCCAGTCACTCCTGTTACTCAGGAAACTGCAAGAGTTTTAGGAGCCATGCACCAAAAAGCAGGTAAGACGACTAAATGTGCACTCTATTCTATCAGCCTACTGATCCCACTCCGCCCCTGACCTGGCCCTTGTGGGAGCTGCTTACCCACTCTCTTGTCTTTCCTACCCAACTAACGCGTTCCTATGTCTAGCACTTAGTACTTAGTACCCAACACAGCACCGGGAATCTAACATGTAGCACTTGGTACCCAGTGTCAGTACCACTAACTAGCACCTCCATAAACAGAACTTGCAAGATCAGGCAGGGATTTTAAACAAAAGAGAAAGGAACAGAAATGAGGCAGGAAGTCAGGAGCATTGGGGACAGAAATGGGCATCTGAGGATGAGGAGACAACAGGTATTTCAGAGGCTTCCATCTCACCTAGGCAGGGGAATGAACCTGAGAGCCATTACAAGGTTCCTGCCCAGCTGTAGACCTTGACTCCTATGAAGTCTTAAAGGGAAGTGTCTCGGTGACCTCTTCTGGAAAGGCTTCTGAGCTGCCTAGAGATGGTAGGGCCTTGCCTTGCTCACCAGTAACTGGCCCACGGTGGGTTCACAGCTAGACCTCCATTAGGGTGAGTAAGGAGGATGTAATCAATTGCAACATTAAAATGAGAGGTGGGGGGGGGGATTTTAACTCTCTCCTCTGCAGGCAGTTGTCTCCTATCCTAGTTCATATTCTCCCCCTGGAATCAGGTTGACAGGGCCATGGAACAGGCTGGGTGCAGGAAGCTTCGCGGAACCCAAGGAGCAGGGGCCCAGGAGTGAGATCTATTGAATAAGAACAGCACAGCTTTTCTGTGAACCAGGAAATGGCTACGCAGGGATGCTGAGCCCCACAGAGGACATCCTTAGCATGCCGCCCCTGGGCAGAGATGCATAGCCTTCCTCTGGTACACTCCCCAAGTCAGGGCCCAGCTCCTGGCTCCAGGATAAAGATGCTCTCAAGTCCAGGTACTGCTAGACTCCTCTTGATACCACAACAACCTGAAGAAATCAGAATTATGAACCCCACTTCACACACAGATCCAGAAACTGCAGCTCCAAGTGAGAAGGAATGCGCAGCAGTAAAGGGAACATAGGGTTCTCCAGCCTTTCCTCCTGGCTCCTCTAAAGGCAGAGAGGGGTGCGGAGCCTTCAAGAGCTGGGACTATAGCTCACAGAGGTCCCATCCAGGCTGCCCCCTACTGACCGTGTGACTTGGAACTTAGCCTCTGATTCTCTTTCTCCCCTAAAGAGGGCAGTGGCAGCATCACTGAGTGCTCCCAGAGACTGGGCGAGGTGGTCATTTCAGAGCACTTAACCACAGATCATAAGACACAGTAGAGGATGGGGTTCCATCTACACAGAGGAAGGCTCCCTTCCTGTCGTGCGCAGAGTGTGTGTGTGTGGAGGGGAATCAGACAAACAGGGTAGACAAGAGTCAGGGAGCCAAATTGAGAGCGAGGCAGCCAGCCGGCGGCTCTCACTTCTGCTTCTTTCATCTTTTGTTTAGAAAAAAGCGTGTTTGTTCGTTCTCATCTTGCATGAGAAGTGACCGCAGCCCCGGAAGCCTTGGCAAATGGAGGAGGGCTCTGAGCTGAGCGGAGGCCAGCAGGTGGGCAGGCAGGCCAAGGCCTAGCAGCAGAAAGACAGGCAGAGCAGGAGCATCAAAGAGGCCAAGATGGAGACAGTAGGGGGAAGAAGTGGCCCCGGAGGAGGAAGTGATGCGGGAGTGGGGAGGAGGGAAGGTCTTGAGAATACCTGTGGAAGTGTTCCTGGGTTCCTGATCGGGGGAGGGGGCTGTTAGCCCAAGAACAGGACTGTTCTGGGTGCAGGGGCAGGGGTAGACAGTGTCTCTGAGTGC